AAGTAGCATGCATTTTGATAAGACATTAGTGCCTTATTTTTTCTTCACCATTAAAGTTAGAATTAACTATAGGTACTTCAATACAAATTGGAATGTTTTCGGTCTTTTTTCCTTTGATTTTCTTAATACTGAAAAATTGGTCAGTCCTAAAATGGAAGTAAGTAAAATCAGACACTATTGTCGTTCAAATTTATGGAAAGATTGTAAGTAGATAAAACGTAAATGGAATGATATCATTCTACTAGCAGGATCAGAGATTATAGTTTCGCATATATTAAACAAATTTCAATATTTTACAGAGTTACTTATTTGTATTTATTCGTATGATATTAACGTATGATTTAAACTGTTTGCATTTATTGTAATTTTTCGTAAGATTCTATGCTAGTTTCATAAAATTTAATGTAACTTATTCTTTCGTGCTAAGCACAGTGAGGGTAGCTGCAATTTTAAGGCATATTTGTTTTTTCATACTTAGTAGTTCTGTGTCACTTTGTCTACTGACTGGTAAAGAAAAAAAAAACACTTTTATCCTACATGTGTGCTGATTTGCACAAACGTCATGTTTATCCTTTCGTAATGTAACAGTTGCTACTTTTTTTCCTTTCGTATAACAAGAAGTAGCAGCTGTAGATACAACTTTTTCACCATGTGACGTGTACATACAACTTTTATGCGTTTAGTCATGTAGCAGTTGCCACTTTTTTGCTTTCGTATGTTGGCTAGTAATATTTAACTTCAAAAGCAAGTTAGCCGTACGCTAACGTGATACCACTCAATCAGTTTATTATGTTATACAGGGTGACTTCGAAGTTGAGTCATTTATTTTAACAGTGAGTAGATCTGATCAAAAGAAATGTTTTTTTCCTTTACCATTTTCCTGGTAAAATAAAAGTAACAAAGTTATAGCCCTTTGGAAGTTTGAGTACCGTCCTGTCTCAATAACAATATTATGTGGTCGTGTTTGGCGACAATGGATATAATCCGCCGTATCGGTTCAACGCATCGGAAACAAAAAAGCGAAAGAATTTGGAACGATGTTTTTACAGGTATCTCATTCATTTGTATACAGTTAGTGTCAGTGAATAGTGGTATGTGTTGCGTGGCTCAAACGAAATAAAAAATGGCACATGTTTATGCGGATCGGTTTCCCAATCGAGTGCAACCAACCCCTCGTGCCTTTGTTAATGTAGTACAACGGGCTTGTGAATCAGGTGACTTAAGACCTCACAGGGGACCTCACGATCAAATACAGGTCCGCACTGAAATACTTGTCGGGAGGATACTTTATAAAACAAGGTAAACATTTTTTTTTATTTTTACACACATATTTTGGTTTATCTTCCTTCTACAATCATTATCTGAAAATTAATGACTCAACTTCAAAGTCACCCTGTATATAAAGTTATTTTGCTTAGTATTTTAACATCAGTTATTATTCTTAATTGGTTGTATATGCTTGATTAAGCTGATGAAATCATATGTTTACGAAATGAAACTATCTTTATGTAAAGAAAATAATTACGATTTTTGTGAATATGAAATAATCGTTTCTGGCCATTTGGTGAACGAAATTCAGAAGTCAAAACTTCGGATGCGTTTTTCTCAGTTTCAAGTTAGCTCTGTGTTTAGTTTGGCAGTATTACTCGAATATAAACTATAAACCATTTTTGGTGCATAATTCAGTTTTTAGTACAGCCGTAATATTTATAGCATAGTAAATACTTTGCTGTTGTACCTCTCTGATCCTTCTATGTCATCCGAGGTTATCGTCTAGGTCATCGATACATCAGGATATGCCGCTACCCATTCCTTTCGTCTTTATTCAAATCCTTTTTTCTACTCCTGGTTGTTCTGTTCATTGTTTTCAATATGGACTAGATTTATATCTGTAACATGTGGTTTTTAATATCGGTCATTATCAATGAATTTAGTTCCCACGCTGTAGGTGAAGAGACTATTATGATCGCGAGGAAAATTCAAAATCTAGATTTTTTTTGAGTGTTGTATGATGAAAAACCATGTCATTCATTTCTTTATCGCGTATGTCTAGTAAATTCTTTGCATCTCTATAATTCGAAAAGTACCACTTGAATTTTGATGTAGTTTACAATGTTGCCATGATGGTAAGGATGTAAAATCATTGTTGGTTTGAAAATTTCATTAGGGGTAACGTATGGTTTTGGAGTTCCTGATTTCAAAATTCAAAGGTCTTGTTTGGATGGGACAAAATTAAAAACGATTCAGCTCCAGTTTCTGTCGTTTTTGCTTCCCACGCTATGCTGACGAGGAAGTATTGTAATCGCGAAAAAAATTGAAAATAAGATATTACGTTTTTTGCATGTTATATGAAATGTACATTACGAAAAACCTTGTTACTTATTTCCGTCGGTCTGTCAGCTAATGCTTATCCCGTTTGTAACTTGGGAATTATAATAATAATAATAATAATAATAATAATAATAATAATAAATGGGCTTTATTTCGTACCTAAGTAAAAGTACAAAAAAGGCGAAGTGTCGCTAAGACTAGCGTTTACTGCTCGAATTTAGATGAAATTTTCACGCAAGGTTTTGGAAGATTTGTAGTTTTTGGAAATCGCTCCAGTGACGTCGGACAAAAAGGTCAAAAATAAAAAAAGGAAAAATCGCTCAAACTTCGTTTTTGACGTTTTAGAGGATCTGGATCATTTTGGAAAATTAATTTTAGAGTTAAAAAGGTTGGTGGTGAGGGGTTGTAGGGGGTGGGGAGCATATACCTCAGCTTTTTTATATTTATACTCTCTCAATCTTGGTAATTCTACGCATCTGTTAGATATATTTCACACATCATAGATTCCCCCGTACATTAACCTTGAAAACTATTTTCAGCAGACGAATCGCGTAGCTTTCTATCGTACTTGCCGAGCGCCATGGGGTAGTAAATATTGCATATTTCGCAGGGGATCACAGGGCCTTATGAAAGCAGGTAGCAGACGGCGCGATGACGCGATATGCATATACGAGGTTAGCGCGACATCTGTACTGGATGTTTCAAATTTTACCTTTTCCATTGGGATCTCGGAAACTGTCAGAGATACGAAGTCGCTTAAATGAAAGAAATCAACAAAATGTCGCTTAGAAAGTTTTAAAAATCAAAGTACTCCCGGACAGAGACGAAAAAAACCTTATTTTCCCAAAATCGTGTTAAATTTTTTCCTGACTATTTGTAGTGAGACTTCAAAGTAAATTGAACATTGACATGTAGCTTTTTTCCTCTACAGGATGGCATAATTAGAATTTCAATATGACGGTTCGTCTCTTATCCTCCAGCATTAACTTTATTTTTTCTTATGGACGCCATATTGGAATTTTGCTCAGATGAATAGAGTTTGTAATTCTGATTCCAAAAAAGTATAATAGGTCATACATTGACATTGCCAAACCTTAGTCATTACAGAAAACAGAAGTTCCTAGGTAGGTCTTGAAATTGTCAGATTTCATGTGGTTCGTATGCCAGACCAGGCCTCAAATTGAACATAAAAACAGAGTTTGGACGACTGAGAAGCAGAGGAATATATCGAGCAGTGAACAATGTATGTACATAGCAGAGTCAGGCCTACAAAATAGCGGACAACATTTTGAATATCTGCTTTGATTTCCATCTGCTTATTTATCATTATTATTGTTATTACCATCAATAAAATTTTCATTTTGTGTTCAGGTTTCACAATAAATTTTTAATTTTATACAATTTTCATCCAACAACAAATTCATGACCAACTAAGGAAATTCGTCACTGAATTTAAGATTGACAGGCCTATTAAATTGTACAAAATTCCAATAGAGCATCTATATGAAACAATATGGTAATGGCAGTCGAAATAAGAAATGTCGAAATTGAAAATTTGACTATGCCATCTTGCAGAGGAGAATAAGTAACTGTGACAACATTCAATTTGAATGAAATTTCATCTCAAATAAAGTTAGGAAAAATAAAAGTGATTTTGGGATAAATCTGGTATGCTAAACAAATGACTGTCTAATAATTTCAAGGCCTACTCAGGAAATTCTGCTTTCTTGAAATAAGTAAGGTTTGGCAATGTCAATGTATGACGTAATATACATTTTTGAAGCCAGAGTTAAAAACTCTATTCATCTGTGCAAAAATCCCAAATGGCGTCTATAAGATAAAATAAAGTTGATGCTGGAGGATAAGAGACGAAACGTCATATTATGCCATCTTGTAGAGGAGAAAAAGTGGCAATGTTAATATGCAATATATTTTGAAATCCCACTATATATAAAGTCAGGAAAAAATTAAAACGACTTTGGGAAAATTTTGTTTTTCGTCTTTCTCCGGAAGTACTTTGAATTTCGTAACTTTCTAAGTGGAATTTTGTTGATTATCTCAATACGCAACTTTGCCCATATTTAAGCGGATTCATATCTCTTACAGTTTCCGAGATCCCAGTGGTGAGGATCGAATTTGAAACACCCTGTATACATGTGTGAGTGTAATCTAATTATGTTGCTTGATTTCGTGAGGTAATATTATATAGTATACAGTATATAAGTACGTATAAAAATCTATTAGAATCAGTTATCAAATATTGTTGGTAAACAGTTTTACACCAGAGCTCCAAAGAAATGAGTCTACCATGTAAGGACACGCTCGTGGCTGCAAACTGAGGGATCTTTTTCCCTGAAAAGACCAAATAGTACACTAAGGTTTTGACAAAAACTACGTCTTTTTGATGTCATTGCACTACATGGAAAATTGTTCTAGAAGTTATTTCGAAGGCGTGGGAAGTGTAAAGTCAATCTACTGGACGCCATTTTTTAAACTTCTTATCTCTTCAGGCGAACAACAATTTGGTGACGTTTGATTTACCGGTGAACCTTCGTACGCTGTATCGAACAACCATTCCTTCCTTCCAGTGTCTAGCTAGCTTTCCCTTTTTTCCCAGCCTCCCTAACTTAACCAGCACGTATAGCGAATGGCGTTTGGTGTGGTTGCAGCGCGCGTGCGCGTGACGGTGCATCTGCCGTACGCGGCTACGGCGATGGGACCTCAGTCAGCTCCTCCATCGCAGACAAACGCAGCCGCCCCTACAGCCGGTGGTGCCGCCCCAGCAGCATCAGGGGGCGGCCCTCCACACAAAGACCAGGGCACCAAAACTTCAACCACCACCACCCACTAACCAACGACCGCCCGATGAACAAAACTATTGTAATACGCCCTTCGGTAGGAGTTGATATAGCATGCGCGCGCTCTCTCTTTCTCTAGCACTGTCATCGTGTCGCCTTTCACGTTAGCAATCATTGTCATTTTAATGCCAAAGTAGGGAGAATAGAGAACGGAGGACCGAAATTCTCAGTAATTGCTGAAACTGCACATGGAAATCATTGTACTGTAGCATCTTGAAAATGTAATAATAATACTTTCACAGTATCTAAATCCAATTCGAACAAATAGTTGTTTGCATTATGTCATTTCATTTTTTGACCCCCTTCAGAGATTACATTCATTGGCAGCCTTTGCAAAATTTAACTGTATATGTTTCACCTTTTCGTCTCTGAAGAGATAAAAAATGATTTGAGTTTAGTCTCTTTTTCTCTATGCTCCTTGCGCGAAGACTATACAGAACGGTACACTGGATATTGCAAAAATCATAACAGTCATATAGATATTTCAATATAATATAATAAAATATGTTCATGGAAACAAAGATTTGATAAATATGACATATAATTATCGATCCAAAGTAAATTTAGCTAAAAAATCTGGGCTGAAAAGCCTCTTATATTCGGTTTTAGACCAGGAGAAGGCTGGTTTGACTATTAGGCTTCTATCATATAGAAATAAAATTTGTGGTTTTCTTGTCGAATATGTACCAAAGATATTTACGATGTTGCAGTCCTTAACCAAAAAGTTATATAGAGCTATAACAAATAGTCTTACTGTTCTTTACATAGTGGAACAAGTTCAGAGAAACTTGATATTTTCCATGAAATGTCCGTTATGGCTCTAGGAAGACCTTTCTGTATATCCCATATCAAGTACGGCTTGGAATATCATGGATTTTGCTTGGCCTCATTATATAACATCGCAACGCTCGTGTTTGCCAATTTTTGTAACTAAACTGAAAAATGTCATCGCAATCTATCGTACGTGAAAAAAGTATCTTCTTGAATCCCTTCATTATTCATAAGAACATACGATATAAGTGGTCCTATGGTAATACTGATCTTCTGCCATTCATTCTTGTTGATTTGATGAACGTTTTGTTCTTCAGCATTGATATTTTTTTTCCAGGAAAAAAACAGTTATTTGTAGTTATGTGTAATAAATCTTTAAAATGCTTAAGATATGGTTCATGAAGGACTTTTCTGTAGATATACTCTTCTGAAGTACTATGCAACATTCTGCATTATCGTTTTTCTTTTTAGGCAATGTTACTGTTAAAGAAAGAGAGAGAACGCCGCATGTGTCCAATTTTCTGACAGATGTCGAATTCGTTTCTACTTAGAGGTTTTAGTTCAAGTATTTTCAAGTCTTCGTACCTTATTCATAGTGCCTAGGGTTATATATCTATTACTCCTCACTCGTTTTGCCTTTTCAACCACCTTTGTGGTCCATTTTTCCAAAAAATATATGGATATATATATATATATATATATATATATATAAATTTTTGACTTTTTACGACGTCAAGTATCCTTATTTGCTACTCAGAATTTGCGGGTTTACTTCGACTGCATTTGAGCATAGGTTAGGAGTTATTTTCACCATAATAGTAGCTAAGCAAAATCGAGGGCATTCTTATCAATACTTCAATAAATTTCGTCTCCTTTTTGAACTTGATTTTTCAGTGCTTTACATAAGCTTTGTTTTGTAAGGAATACAAATAGTGTATGCATCGAAAACTATATAATTATCTCTTTTCTGTGTAATGTTCTGTATACTGTCTCAATTGTATGATTGAAAATTGTTTGTATTTCGTCATGTTTTTTAGTTTTCTCGATGACAACAAATATTCTCAAAAAACAGGTCAATTGTAGTATGGGGATTCCAAAGTTATTGCAAGTTTAGTTTATTTTTTTGCTTTTGATCGATTTTAAATAAAGTCTTATTTGACCTAAGAAGATTTATTTTTCCTAATGACTCATAAATTTTGTATGTATACAGTGCAATAGTTTTAAATATAACAGTAATCATTTTACACGTTCACACAGCATTACATTTACTAACACTGTTCTGTATTTTTTTTGCTACTCACCGTGCCCTGGTTTTTCCTGTTTTTTTTTCTGTTTTCAGTTTTCTTTTTTTTTCTTTTTTTTTTCATTTACTCATACTAATTTTTGTTGTTTGTGTTCTTTCAAGCAGCTGCTGATGTTTTGTGCCAAAAATTAATGAACTTGTGAAGGTAGGTGTGTTTCTACTACTTATTGGTCTTAGTGCAACTTATCATTTAGTTAATGCATGCTAAATGTTACAAAACATCGAAAAATTAATGAAAAGTTTTTCAATGCGATATTATTCAATTGTCCGAAAACCTTTTGAGTGTCTGTTTTGCTCTTGAAGGTGGCAATTGGAGGGAAATATGACGAATCTAATGAATATACCATATGTGTCTGTTTGATATTTAATCACCTTGTTTGAGTAATGTCTGTACTTTTTCTTATTAGAAAAGTGGGTGCTTATATTTTTCTAATTTTAAAATCTTGTTAGTTGTATTTGAGATCTATGAATTGTAACTTTTTTTTTGAAAGTTGTAATACGTATCGTCAAGAGCAACATATTTTGCACTATTTATATCATATGAATATGTACTTTTCATTAATTTTGCGTTTGAATTGTGACGTTACAATCGCTTGACAGTCTTCAATATCGCTTTCAGATGACATATCAAACGAAGAAAACCTCAATTTATCAGACTTGGACCTCAACAAGTTAAAATTATCAGAAGAAGATGCTTTAGCGCTGTCATATTTGACACCAGGACTTTCGCGACGCATTCAAAAACAACTGCTCTCGCAGTTGGCCCCCTCTGAGGTCCGGAAACTCCAGAGAACCTTATCCTCAAGAGTATCGGAAGATAAAGTACCTAAAGATCAGAGAATGTCTAGGTCTACGGATAGAATGGCAAGTACCTTGCCGAGAAGAATGTCTTCTGAATCACGATTTTCTCAAAACGTTAGCAAAGAAGATGATAGAGCTAAAGAAAGCGGTCTGAAGATGCCAAGATCATTTCTTCCAGTTAGACCTTCATACGAGTACGGTGTCAGGTCTTCTAGCATAGGCGCTGAACCAAAGTGTGATAATAAGTTTAGCTACAGGAAACCAAAGATTTCAAAGTCTCTTTCTGTCAGAGAACCGAGATTGTATTCCAAAATTGACATCCAAAGCCCTGAATCCAGCATTTCTGAAAGTCTGTCGTCGTCTTATAGAAACAACGATAGTTTGGACAGCTCCAAGTGCTCGGATTCGTCTTCAATGTCAAAACCTTATTCAAAATATTCTGACTCTTCTTTCAGCAGATATTCTCCAAGTAGATACGATTCTAGTAATATTCTAACGATGTCATCAGATAACAAGACAGAGTATAAGAAGCCGTCCAATACAGGTACAGGGTCAAGAAGGATATCCAGGTTTTTAAGGCCTGATTTTTATGATCCACCAAAAGAAGAGACCAATTTGTATCTTAAAGAAAAGAAAGAACGTGAGATGGAAACTCAGAAGGTGTTAAAAGAAATCAGAGATAAACGAAAAGGAAGGATAGGGTCTAGAAGGGATAGATCGGGTTCTAGAGAAAAGTCTATAGAGGCAAATAAGAGTGACAGTGACTTCTTCAAGAAAAAAGAAGAAATGGTTAAAGATGCGGATAAGCTACTCATAAATGTTACGAATAGTATAAAAACTTTAGAGGATAATATGAAAGTTATGCATGACTATGTCAATGTCCCTGGTGAAAATAAAATAGATGAAAGATGTTCTAGTGAGAACGACTACGTTAATTCTTCAAAAGCATTACATGAATATGTGAATGTTCAAGGTGTAGAAACTGCAGCGCCAGTAATGAAGAAAGAAACAATATCTCGAATCGCAAGGCCTAAAAGCTATCCGACAGAAACAATTGCAAAAGAAAAAGTAGCAAAAGTAGATAAAAAAGATAAAGTAATAGTGGACGTCAAGAAAGAAAAAGAACCGACTGAAAAAGAGTCTAAGATGAGTAAGCTGAGGAAAGGATTCAGTCGACAAAGTAAAGAAAAGACGAAAGAGGATAAGGATGAGGAGAATAAACATATAAATGCAGAGGATAAAGGACATAAAAGTAAATTGATGCTGTCTATTGAAAAGAAACTGGAGAAGTTTAGATTAGCAAAGGATCCAGAGGAAGTTAAAGCGATACAAGAAAAGAAATCCTCTGTAGAAAATGCCATAAAGAGATTGCGAGAGCAGAGTTTACCTAGAAACTTGGAACATTGCACCGAGTCAGGTCTTCTCAAGCGAGCTGTATCTGTAGAAGACCTCCCCGGTTCAAAACCACTGCAAGCTTCTAGAAAATCAGTCACGAAGATCCTGGGGCTATTTAAGAAGTATGAAGAACAAGATAAAAAGAAACCAACGAAGAAACTGAAAAAGAAAGACGGTGACAAATCTGTGATGAATGAAACTGTCACTAATGGCAAAAGCGAGGCGTCTGAGTCTAGTCAATCGGAATTAGTAGAGAAAAGAGAGAGACCTCGCTCGCTGCTGTTTGATAAAGTGAAACAGTTTCAATACAATGGTGCTAAAAGTGATACGGTGTTGAATAGTGCGAAGGAAAAGGCTAGATCGAGATTGCCGGTGAACAATACGTACAGGCGCAGTTTGAATCTCGAGAATACGTCGGAGTCTGGGAAAAAGATTGGAGAGATGAATACTGAGAAACAGCCGGAGAGAAAGTCGCTGAAGTTAGAGTTGACGAAAGAACCTGTGATTGTCGTGGAACATGTACCTGTGGCTACGAGTAGCAATGCGGATGATGTTATCAGTAAAGAATACAGGTAATTTATATCATAAATTAACACATTCTACCCGCAGATAGCTACCCTAATACTATATTCGGAAATCTGAAATATATTCGAGATGAAATGGGATTCCGTAGCGTCATCTATGAGAATTTGTCACAGGCATGTTTCTCCTCTCCCTAATAAATTAGAAATATATTTTGGAAATGTTGTGTGTCTCATATAGATGGCGCTGTAGCGAACTATATATGAGCCACGAAGACTAGAGATAGTAAGCTAAACTGGGTAAGGAATATATGTATATATCCAATAGTTCTGTTACTTACTTACTTAAATTATTATTATTATTCAATCATAAGATGCGTAGCACCTGCAATTTATTTACTGCGCAGTGTACCAACTCACTTCATCCTCGACATTTTTGGCTTGAACCATCCTCCATGAGTTTAACTTCCTATCTCTAGTCTTCACATATGAGCATAATATCACAGTCTATGAGACACTAACATATGCTAAGTATAATAATCGATCTTGAATTTTTCTTCCCAAAAAACCTTAAAAAGTCTGAAGTCAAGGTGCATATTTACATTACGAGTATGTATGTTGGGAGATAGACGAAAAGTGTTTCCTTAAATAGTGTAACACATATTACAATCATTGGAGTAAATTGTAAGGGGACAACCTAATTGGTGACAATGTGTTAAAAGGGATACACTTCAAGAATATGGGTCGTGTCAATAAAAAGGATTATGTGTGAAAAATGGGCATACAATCATTTTTCTTTTTTTATATAGATTTTTTATTGTTAACGGGATTCAATACGGCTTTTTTAGACACTGAAGTTTTTTATATTCTCTTCTGATTTCTGAATATCGTGAAAAACACTTACTTTAATACGTTCAAGAAACGATAAACTCCAAATGAAGATGCTTACAAATTTCAATTTTGTTCCTTTTTTCAAATGATAGCATTATTTCTTAAAATCCATCTAAGGATGTTCGTACAGTTCTTAGTGAGTGTAGTTTCACGAGAATGGAATACCACTATCACATTTTGCTACATTTGTTTCTCATTTTCCACTAATAAAAAATACAACACTTCCTTGCCAATTGGGTGGGCAGTAATAGATGCAGGACTATACCCTTGGCACGGCCCATATTTTTGTAGTTTTTCTTTTGACACATTTTTACCAAATATTTTGTCCCTTTACAATTTCTCCCAAACATTTTGCTATATTTCTTATGACGCTTTTAAACGGGCTATATTTTTGCTGCCGCCCTATATGGCGCCTACACATGTTTGACGTTTTAAATCTTTCATGTATTGTTGTCAGATTGCCAGATTATTGAGATCCTGAGACATTGAGAATGTAATGCAAGCTGCCGCGACACGTACAATTTCTTCAGTGATTCTTGCCTTATTTTTTAACCTTTCTGATGACATATTCTGACAAGATATTAGACTACACATTGCACACTGTATTGCCAAGATGCAGCCGAGATATAGTTGATATATAGCTGAGATACATAGCCGGGCCATGTGCTGCAACGGTTATATTGCGCTTGTTTAGATACTCTATTACAACGTATACGTTATGTCACATATATTTAGTGGAGTTTTTGACTTCTCACAGGAACTCATTGACAACGACAGATGACAGTTCGACAGTCCTCTCTCCATCCGATGATTACCTTAGCTGCGACTCATGGTCAGTTTGCTCTGACCTGCATCACGCTGAGCCTCTGTCACCAGTCTCCCCCAACGGTTACGCTCCGGTGTTCTCAGGAGATGAGAGCGAGTCCGTCAGTGACAGGATACGCAGGAAGAGCTTCTACACACGGTTCAATGAGAAGAAGAGGTCCAGGAGACCGAGCAGTACTTACAAAGAGCTTGATTATGGGTATGTATAATTTTTTTAGACAATCGAAGACTTCAATATTCTTTCTTGAATGGATATGTTACAAGCGGGGTATCGAGCATATGGTCATGATGATGCGAGGTATAGTGAAATTTTAGTCAATATCCCAACTCCTCTTGGAACTTATTCTATCAGTTAGACTGCTGGTACATGTAACTTGGGGGTTCACCCTCAACAAAAGTACTGGTATCTTGCTTTTAGATGTACCAAAGGCATTAGACAAGGTGTTTCACATGGGCTTCTTGTATACGCTCGTTTAAAAGGGCTTTCCACTTTGGCTTCTAAAACTGTTGAAATCTTTTCTAGAAGGAATGAAGTTTCAAAATTAACAATGTTTTGTTAAAAACACGGCCCTAAGAGCCGGTGTTCCTTAGGGTTCGGTCTTAGGAACAATCCTTTATTCATTGTATATACGAGTCCTTTGCCCCAGCAACTGTGAAGTTTATCTCTAAGGTGAGGGCACTGCACTGCTAGCCCAGTCTTGTTCTGGTAACCTGGTTCACGACAGGCTGCAGAGTGTGGTCGAGGAAGTATTGGAGTGGGTGGCATGCGTATCATGTAAAAAACCTATAAAACGTAAAAAAACCTATAAGATGTCACCTTGCAAACTAGGTAGTTTTTAGGGCGCAAACAGCCATTCCACGTTTGCTCATTAGGATCGTTGTGAACGTCCATCTAAGGAGGAATCACTCAACTAAACTACACGCATTATTGGTTGCATATGTTTTGTGAGGCCAAATGGTCCTTGTCTGTAGTTTTTATCTCTGAGAAGAAAGTTGGTTGAATAGCAAGATCGCATCTGGATGATTATGTGTATTGGTCTGGATGTGTATAAAATCAGTGATATTTGCTGTGTGAGAAAATCATTACTGAATATGTTGCCAACGAAGTATATCTATTGGCTGTGCCCGACGGGTTATTTTTATGTTATGCTTTCTCAAGAGAGGTTATGTTCAAAGTTATAAATTACCAAAAACTGAGGAGAATTACGGCAAATCATCACCGCGCCCGCGTTGTGTGTAATTACTGTTAGCATGTATATGGCTTCTAATTCGACAGTGTACAGTGAATATAATTATTTCTTATCTCTCTCATTTTTGAAATTCAGCAAATTTGTATATGTAATTTTTCCAGAATGGATAAGAAAAAGTGGAAGCGCAACTAGCTTTGAATCTCAATTAAGTGTATTTGAGACAAGAACCCAATTTAATTATCATCAACACATACAACTTACAGCTTAGACCTCCAGTAATGCCATCTCAGAAGCAGATTTTATATCACATTAGAGCCAAAGATTGATAACAAGCCTCATGACGTTAAGGCAACACGTACAACTAAGTGCTAAGTTAATATCTTAGAAAAACCTACATAATGTCATAAAAAAACAGCATAATGTCAAAAAAATCGGCATAACGCCACTTTTCAAGATACGTGATACCCGTGCGGATCGGTGGCTGATCAAAATTAATACTTCGAAAACGCAGGTAATCTAGTGTACTGAAAATCGTCGTGGTGGGGTTACCCTGTCAGAAACATACTGATGTTTTAGAAACAAAATTCCAAATTACCTTTCGGCAGTTTTATCATTTGGTGTGCGGAAATTCAAAATTAAGTTTGATCAACAAGATTCGGTCGTCTAAAATAGTCATAAGACCCACAATCACCTACGCATGCGCGGCTTGGTGTTTTCTTGTAAAGACGCACATGCAGAGACTGCAAGTCCTGCAAAACAGAATCCTACTCACAATCATCAACGCTCCATTGGTATGTGTCAAATGAGACCATTCACAGAGATCTTGATATCCCATATTCAAGGGATATTATGTAAATCATCAGGCACAGCGGCGTTATAATCAAGCCGAATCGCACAGCAACCCTCTGTTGCGTGATTCAGTAGTCGAGCAAGTTCGCAAATATTCCAGGCCACGCCTCGTACTGTGATCAAAATAACTTTATGAATTTCATATCAACCAAAATTATTTCAGTATCCAAAACCGATCAATTTTTTTTTTAATAAACAAAATTATTTGGGTAGTCATACCGATGGTGCTTAAGCTATTTCAAACTATTTACTTTTCTCTGCTCTATTTCTTCCTTCCTTTCTTTCCTTTTTGTCTCTGTCCTCCTTAAAGATGTTTGGTATCTGGGTAGCCAGACCGACGAGACTTTTAACTAAGAGCAAAGGTCCACCGGACCGCTCTGACGAAAAATGACGAATAGCAGGCTTTCATGTTTATAGGACTCCATTGTCAGGCCGAATCAAACCACAGCTTTTCCCAGGGTCTTATAAATGCCCGCATGTTTCCACATCTAAGCTAGTCAGTCGGTTATCTTCAAAAAAAAAAGAAATTAATGATGATGGATCCCTCAAGCACTAAGAACTCCGGACGTTAACTCACCCCACTTTCGGAATGTCCGGGTGGAGGGTGGGCTCGAGGGAACAACATCGAAGATAAGATTTGTTTTTCAAACATCTGCGGGATTACGGGATTAACAGCAACATTGATGCTGTTCATCACTACCTGCAATCCAATCGTCCCGCCGTGCTTTTCTTGGCGGAGACAAAAATCTCAGAGTCTGTTACGAGGTGCACTCCAATCTGACGGGGGAGTTGCGGCTTTTGTGCGCAGCAGGCTTTCCTGCTCCAGAGATGTTTCTTTGGAATCAGATCGGAAGGACATTCTGTGGCTTCGCCTCAACTCCAAAACATCACCCAAATTTATTTGCTGCCTTTGTCGGTCTCCCTCGGACCACAACTGGGATGACCTACTCGAATACCTCGCCGTCCAGATCGACTTCCTGAATATCAATCATCCCGCTTCAGAGGTAGTTCTTCTCGGTGATTTCAATGCCCATAATGAGATTTGGTTGGGCTCAAACAAGACCGATGCAGCAGGTCGTGCAGTCGAAGTGTTCGCTTTTACTCAAGGGCTGACCCAGCTGATGACGAGCCCTACTTTTTTCCCCTGCGTCTCGTCACACGCCAGTAGCCTGCTGGATCTCTTTCTGACCACGCATCCTGTCCCTTACAGCACTGCTGTCCTGTCCCCCCTGGGTAACTCAGACCACGGTGTTGTGGTGGTTAGGTTTCGGTCAGAACCCGCTGTGGCAGCAGAAACTCGTAAAGGCCGCAAAACTTGGCATTACGGACATGCCGACTGGGAGGGGCTCAGAGACTTCTTCTCCAGCTTTCCTTGGAGAGATGTCTGTTTCACTGACGCGGATGCGTCGGCTGTCTGTTCTTCGATAACCGAAATTATCCACGTTGGAATGGGGGAATACATCCCTCACACAGTGAAAGTGCCTAAACCAGGGTCCAACGGCTGGTTTAACAAATCGTGTGACACTGCTCGCCAGCAGAAGATCAAGGCACACAGAACCTTCTTACAAAACCCCACTGTAGAGAACGGACAAACCGACGTCGACGTCGAGTCCAGAAACAAATATAACGAAGCGGTTCGCAATTCCAAAAACCAACACGATATAAAAGTTAGGCGTAGGGTAATGTCGCAGCGCAATGGCAGTCGGTCTTTCTGGACGCTCGCCAAGCAGATTGAAAAGAACTTCTCACACAGTAGCCTTCCACCACTTACGTGTCAGGATGGAACTATTGTATTCGACTCAAAGGCCAATACGGAAGTGCTAACCTAGATCTTTGCTGCCAACTCCACCGTAGACGTCCCCCCCAACGCCCAAGTGCTGTCAATTCAAAGGGTTCCCTACACTATGTGGGAGGTAACATTCAGGCATAAGACCGTAAGATGAGTGCTCTTGTCCCACGACATCAACAAGGCTTCTGATCCGGACTTGATTCCTGCCATTGTACTGAAGAGGTGTGCAGCGGAGCTTGCTCCAGTTCTATCGCGTCTTTTCCGGATATCTTATGAATCTGGCACCTTCCCAGAAAACTGGAAATTTGCTCATGTCCAACCCATCCCAAAAAAAAGGATCTAAGACCGATCCTTACTACTACAGGCCTATAGCTCTGCTTTCTGTTATAAGTAAGGTATGAATGGAGAGGTGCATAAATCGCGAGCTTCTGGACTACCTCGAACGTCACAGCTTGATTAGCGACAGGCAGTATGGTTTCCGGCACCAACGATCCACAGGGGCCTCCTAGCTTACGTCACGCAATTGTGGAGTAAACTCATCCAGTCTTATGACGAGGCTCATGTCGTTGCTCTTGACTTCACGAAAGCGTTCGATCAGCTGTGGCACGCTGCCCTCTTAAGCAAACTTCCATCCTATGACCTCCCAGAAGAAAAGCTTTGCAGATGGGTGGCCGCAACGCAAGATATCCGTCGTAATTGACGGGTTCTCCTCTGCATCCCACAACGTCAACGCGGGTGTTCCTCAGGGATCAGTCTTGGCTTCGACTCTGTTTCTCTTACATATCAACGACCTCCTTTCCTGCACGATTAACCCAATCCACAGCTTCGCTGATGACAGCACTCTTCATGCAGGAATTCAGAGTGACAAGCCGATCTCTGCCGCTGAGATGCAAAGAAGAAGACTAGCGACGACTTCCTCTCTGACAAGAGACCTGGAGGCTATCACTGCTTGGGGAAGCAACAATCTTGTACAGTTCAATGCTTCCAAAACACTGTACTGTACTTTGACGAACAAAAAGCGTCTTAGCGCTCATCCGGTTTCGAAGGATGGCCGAGTCCTGCCAAAGAGCCATTTATTTCGGCTGGTCGGAGTCCAGATCACCGAGGACCTGATCTGGCACGAACACATCTCGTCAATTGCTGCAGCTTCTGGGAAAAAGCTGGGCTATTTGCTTAGGGCTAAGAAGTACTTTTCTCCGCATGACCTTCTCACTTTATACAAGGCCCAGATAAGGCCTAGCCCCGAGTATTGCTCACACGTTTGGGGTGCTACCGCCCCGACTACATTATCCATGTTCGATGCTGTCCAGAGGAGGGCGGTCCGACTGATCGATTACTGTTCTCTAACAGACAGTCTCGGGACTCTTTCGCACCGGCGGGCCGTCGGGGATCTAGCTCTTTTCTACCGCTACACCAACGGGCTTTGCTTCTCAGAGCTCTCTTCCATGATGCCGCCGCGCGATGTGCCTGCCAGACAGACCCGCCTGACTTTGGCGTCCCATCCTAACCGTGTCGAACTTCGTACATCCAGAACTGGCCGATACAACCGCTCCTTGTCCCGAGGGTGTCAAGATTGTGGAACAATCTACAAGAGGAAGCTTTTCCCAGTTCCACTAACCTTGAGCAGTTCAAAAATCGTTTTATAACAAAATTTCTTCGGGATTATCATAGCAGCTGCGGTGTTCCGGCATTGAGGCTACTGCCTGCGCGGCTGCTTCGATATAAAAAAAAAACATATACAGAAAACCAAAATTGTCTGACGGCTTGAGTTCAATGTGTACAAGAGAGAAGGGTGAGAAATGCGAATCAGCACATGCTAGAAAAAGACACATTTAATTTAATATTTTGTTTTAATTTTGAGTAGAATTATTCATTTCAATTTTGATGCGATTTAGTGTTTTAATTTATTTTAGGATTATTATCTTTGATCAAGTAGTCGGAAAATGTAACAGATACCATTACGCAATACATACAAATTATCACTGCCTGAATGTAGGCAGGTGAAAACCAGTTCGAAGCAGAACGACACTCACCAATGAGCGCTGGGTGGGATACTGACCAAAATCGCTCTTCTATGATCATGGAGGTGGAAATCTTGCCTTGGAACATACAACACGCGCTGTTATCAGACGAACGAATGATGCAATGTTGCAGAATTTGTAGCGATCCTGACCTTTCAGTTCGACCTGAAATGAAGCGCCGTTAGAACTGATCCGAAATCATTTCGACACAATTCAAAATTAAAAAATGTGTACGTGTACACTCAAAATAATCAATATTTGGGCGTAGAGAACCTAACTAACGCATATTTTCAACATGCATCTTAATTCAAGGAACTGGTGTAACATATTGGCAGTGTGGCAGATTGCCGCGTCAGCTTTCTCTATCCAGCCGGATTATATCTCTTTCTAACATATGTGTCTAAACACAGTTCTTTCTCGTACACATTGAACTCAAGCTGTCAGAAAAAAATGGTTTTCAATGTATATGTTTTAATTTCTGTTTATTGTAGCACGCTTTGGCCATCACGATGGCCTTTTTCAAACACAAATGACAATTAACGACAGTATATTTTGTTTACCTGTTTTCCAGGTGACAGTTCATCTATTTTTTCTTTTCTTAATTCCTATATAGTGTATTGCGACGATAGATTGAACGGTCCTGTAGCAAGCCGCCGAGGTCGCGCGGACATTACAATTTTAAGATGGCACCGCGTACAACCAGAAAGCCCATCAGGATCGCCTGGGGTAGTCAACTCCGTTTCCAAAGGACATCCAGCTCCCCAAAGCGACACGAGGCGTTTTATTAATGTACCAGACACGTCAGCCCCGCCCATCGTCCCGAAAACGCTAAACGCCATTCAGGGATACGAAAAACCCACCCAGAAATATTGTCGCAACATACCGGTTAAATCATTAATTAATGTACTCTACCTGAAGATAGCCAACCTAATGATATAAACGGGCGTCCGAAAAATTAGCTGAGATGGAATGACAAACCGTAGCGTTATGTATGAGAATTTGTTTCTTCTGTCCGCAATAATTAAAAATCTACTTTGAAAAGATTGGTGCCTCATAGATGGCGATGTAGCCAACTACAGGGTGACAACTGGCAACCGAAGGATTTTGAAACATTACAGAAGAAATTTGGGAGATAATCTTATAAAATCTTATTTTAATAACATCAAAATGAAGATTATGCCATTTAAAATGGAAAATAATGTCATGATGATGGCGACCCTCAAGTTGGATGCAGTATTCAATTCTCGTTTTGAAATTTTTGGTAACACGCTCTAATATCGCTCGATCAATAATTAGGATTTCCTGGAGAATTGCGTTCTTCAACGGACTTCAAAAAATTGACAGGTTTCTAGGCCACGGCACATCTCCGACACGTAGAATGAGTTTTCCTGGGAAAAGGTTGCAGACAACATTCATTGATGCGTTGGCGGTATGTGTCGTGGCGCCATCTTGCTAAAACCACACGTTCCCTTGTCTGCGTAGTTCTGGCACCAAAAAATCTGAACGTAGCGATCCGAATTAACGGTCACGGTTCGGCCGGCCTCTTCAAAAAAATAAGGACCAATAATGCCTGTTGGACCAATGGTTCACCATACTGTGACTTTCTCAGAATGTAGAGGCCGCTTATGGATCTTCTTGGATTTTCAGGAGCTCAGTACCTAAAATTCCGTGAATTAACTGTTCCATCTAAGTGACAATGAGCTTCGTGGCTCCATAGAAGATGTCCTCCAAAATAACTTGCACTCTGGTAGCGAAATCCTTGTAGTTTGTAGAGGTGACATTTTAAATCCTTAGACAAAATTCTAAACGATTCCCGATCCATGTTTAGTTCCATTGCGTGTTTAATTTTTTTTGTTATACATGTTCGTAACTTTTCTTCTCAGAGGGTCCAATTTCTGCCGAACATAATCCTTTATGAACCGATGACAGCGTCGCGTAGGAATTGCAGAGTCAACCTACTTGACACCATTTTTTTGTTTGTAGTGTCTTGGATCGTGACGCGAGCTACAGGAACCCAGTGACTCGTCGCGCCAGTTACGCCTCATCCTTGCAAGACACCGCAACGGCAACGTCCAAGTCGTATCGGCCGTACTCAAGAACAACTTCGTTGCTGAATGATTACGTGAACGTACCGAACAGGTACCAGACCTACAGTTCGAAGATTGGCAGGCCTGGCGGATCCACGTCGCTGTACTCGGATCCTGAGGATAACGCGCTCATTGACGATTTGCTCACTACTGCGAAATCTAGGAAGTAAGTTTTCAATTCTTAAGGTTGATCTTCTTGTTGCTTTAGGGACTACTATCACCAAAAGCAACCCATCGTCAAATCGACTTCAACCCGATTTCGTTAGGTTGCTTTTGCGTTCTCACCGAGGTTGTGAGATATATACTTAGTGGTAAGAACGGGGAGTATAAATAAAAGTAATTTAGTGTTATGATAACTTTGACTAAAAGAAAATCGTATAAGTAGCGCATTTAATAAATGAATCCAGTTAGATCAATCAATCATCATATGAGGTACTTTTTACGTACCAAAAGCTAGTATGTTTCTTGAGTCTGATCATCACTCGTACAATATCAGCTTGCTGGTCACACATTTGTCAATTCTAGCTCTACTGAAAGGTTTTCAACCCTGCTGCTCCAGCTCCAATGGGATCACTTTAAAAATACTACAAACCCGATGGATAAGTACTGTTATTAATGATTTTTTTGAACAATTGACCGGAACGGTAGCTGAAGTGTCACAATGATCTGGGCGGATTACCGTCGCTTTTGAATATGAATACATGTATCGAATCTGGTTGGCATAGAATTGCGGTCGCCAGTTGCTAGATGGAAACGCACTTTCCCCAGCACTTGTACCCCTATCCTACATGTTGCAGACTGCTAGAACAGCTGACACATGTTGCACAATATGCGCCCGTACGTTTTATCCGTACAAAATTTGGTGAGCACTTTTTGCAAACTAAAATGTACGCAGCTCATTTTCCGCGCCGCAGCCACTTGTACTCTTCTCCTCAGTGCTTCATCCGTATAGCACTTCTTACTTCTCGAGTGTATATTCCTGAAACTAATAAATATCATTTGTTATAGATATGGCTTCCAGATTCACCCAACCAGATCTAGAAGTAGAACATCAGTATCTCCAATCGATGAATATCAAATCGACAGTCCTTCTACTACAACCAGTAACACACATATTCAGAAATTTTAATAGAACACCTCTTTTGAGGGTGGAATAACTTTTTGAAAGGTTCGCGTAGCGTTATGACCACCTTAGAATCAAAGTTTTGAGACGCTCTAGTGTTTCAAGTTTCACTTCTTCACACTTTGGTCGCTTTTTCAATTTTTGTAACAAACATCTGTAGGAATGAAAGATATTTTGGAGCTATTATTTCATACAATATTTACACTTCTTCAGTCGAAATCAATTTTTAACAAGCCTTTGCTAGAATGAGAGATTCATGACATAATTACAGCAATTTCATGTTATTAAGCTATTACTTCCAAAATTTTCGGAATGACAAATTTGTAATGCAAATAATTTATTCGTTCTTCTTGAGTCGTTAATAACTTACAAACTCTCTTTGGCCAAGGGAACGTTGGTTTTGTTGCTTATGGTTACACGAACCTTTCAGACATCCTATTTAATTCAGTATAAACTGTCATTAAATAATGTTTCCTAGTCTGTTAAGTTGAGGTTTCTTATCGACAATACGTAGATTTATATTTTCGTTATTCGACAAGCAAGTCAAGTTATACAAAGATAAACGATTTTTTAGTGAATATTTTCGCCTAGCTGTTACGCAAAAGTCAAGTTTTACATATTCGATATGTATTTATTATATGTAAATGTTGTTTGCTTTATATTTCAGTTTATTTGCTGGCGGTGTACTAAAAGAAACGGGTAGTTAGAAATACGAATTATGGGAACAGAGGAGTTTTGTTTAAAGGCGACTAGTCAAATCAAAGAGAGAAAATCTAGTGGAATATTTTATTTTACATTTGTTTGCTTCTTCCTTGAAAAAGACTTATTTAGAGTCTATAGTTTGATTTACTGGCCAGGATAACATCATTGATGTATACTACGTGAACATAGTTAATCCCTTCTTGGCGCGACTCTGCTGCCTACTTAAATTGGGTATCTTTATGCATTGATTAACACAGGCCACCTGAAGATACCTAAAATTAGGCATTAGAAAAGCCAAAAATCCATTGAAGATCCTAGCGTCATCTATGAGACAGTAGCAGATCCAAACACAGTTAATTAACTCTTTTCAAAGTGGATTCCTACATTCATTTTTGTGTTTTACTATTGCCTGGAAGCTGTCGCTAGTATCTTTCAGATCCCTTTTTGAACGCCGGAATTCAGTATATGGTTGGCTACCTTCAGGTAGAATATGTTATAATATGTTGATCAATGATCACATTGAGAAGTATCAGCAAGACAACCATATGAAAGTTCTAGAGGTTACATTATAAGTCTGTAAGTGTGTAAGTTTTGCTAGTTTTACGATGTTTTTTCTCAATATTTGATCCTCTTTTTCTTTGATTTACTTGAAGCTATGATAGGGATCTGAATGTTGCCAGATGCTATTTTGAATATTGTCTATCAAGCTTAGTAAATGGCAGTATTATGACTGGTGCAAAAACGTATCTTTTAGTACACCTCAATCATGTTATGATACTCATCATTATCTAGAGAATTAGTAATTTATTTCGCATATATTTAACTATTTATTTTATTATAAATTAACTTTATTAATTGGATTGAAGTGAATTTCATGAAATCTTTAAAATATACACTAGTTTAGGACTACTAAAAAGTAGCAAACTGTTGACGTTTATAAATGATTTTAATAACCACGTTACACTTTGAATCTCATTTTAAGTTAAATACTTTTTTGTAATATTCTTCTCAATCACCCCACATTGATTATATGTTGAGTTTTGTGTGAATTGTTAGAGTTGTACGTTGACTTTTGTGATTTTATATAAAATAAAATAAAGCATTTATAAAATATTAGCAGTTCTTTATTTAGATTCTACACCATTCCTTCCTGTAACTATTGATTAACGTATTCCACCAGTAGATGCATGGTTAAATTTTAAAATATTTTACAGATCATCATATTTTGAGCGAACATTTGCACATACGAAAGGTTTCTGAAAAAATAGTGCCAAAAAACCAAACAATCCTGAGACCTAAAGGCAAATTTGGAAGTTGCACACTGGAAGGTCTTCGTGACCAAAGAAAGCTGGAATGGGCAAATCTAAGATCAGATCAATGCTGATTTGTTTTTTTTTTCATGACAACGCCCCATATCACACTGCCATCTCCATCACATAATTTGTGACTTCAAAAGGCATTTCTCTGATTCCCCCCCATTCGCTTAATCTCGAGTTCCTGTTAATTTTTCGAAACTGACAAATGTGTTGAAACGACACCTTTGTCGAGTGACAGTGGACTAGTCAGTTTAGCAGGTTCGTAATGCTCGAGCCCAAGGCGTGCACTGCAAGCAAAATCAAAAGGAATTTTTGGTACACCTTACTGCACGTTGAGACATGTCCACGAGTGCATAGTAGCCGCGAGCAAGCAGGTTTGTTGATTTAGTTGTTCATTCGTATTGACAGTGTAAAGTGCGGACAACGGCATTGTGGTCACGTAGTGAGATAAGAGCAGTTTTACGGTATAACTGTACGCGTGGTTTAAGCATAGACCAGTGCTTAGAAGAAATGACGCTTGCATTAAACAATGATTGTCCTCATCGTACGACTATATTCGGGTAGCAAAGGGAATTCCAAAGGGGAAATTTCACTCTGGAGGACGCTGAGAGGGAAGGAAGGCCGCGAACGTCCGTAACAGAGGAAACATTAGTGCGGTGAGGAAAATGCTTGACGAAGACCGGAGTGACATATCAACAGATATAGGAGACCTTACACCTTCATGCACCAGCAATGCAATAAATTCTGCGTGATCATTTACACGTAAGGAAACTTTGTTCTCTCTGGGTACCGCATAGTCTGACGGAAGAGCAGAAGACTCGTCGTACGACTTGGTGCCGAAAGATACTGAAAATGTTGGATAAGGGGCAATCTCGGTATGTGAACAGCATCGTGACAGCTGACGAGACTTGGTTCTATTATTACGATGTGCCGACCAAGGCTCAAAACAAAGTTTTGGTGTTTGATGATGAGGACACACCTGTAGCTGTCAGAAAATCCTGATCTGTTGAGAAGAAAATGTTAGCTGTATTTTTCAAATCGAGCGGGATTGTGGAGCGTGTCGTTTTGCATACACAGAAGACAATCATAGCTAAGTGGTACGCGGAACAGTGCCTGCCTAAGTCATAGAGTCTATGAAAAACCTGCGGAGAACGTAAAGAATAGACACTCGTCGGTACCTCCACTATGATAACGCTCCAGCTCACCGCGCCAAAGCCTGCACCGAGTATTTGACCACTCCTAGACTGAAACTTCCAGTCCAAGTCTTGCTCCCTGCGACTTTGCACGGTTTCCGCATGTGAAAGTGAAGCTAAAAGGAAAAGGGTTTTCTAGCGATGAGGACCTTTTGAGGGCTTGGGACAACGAGTGTGCCGCACTCCCGGGTAAAACTTGGGAGAGCTGGTTTAAGGGCTGGTTTTGGCGGATGGAGAAGTGTATTGAATGTGCTGGAAATCACTTTGAACGAAGTCAATAAATAAAGCTGTATTGCAAAACTTTTATAGTACCCTTTGTACAAATACGAGTAAATAATGGGCAAGCCACGCAAAAAGAAGGAAAGTGAATTCGAGCAGAAAAAATGATAGGTAACCCGAACGTATTTCTGCTTGTTAGCTACATCAGGCCCGAAATGAATGCACATATGCAACCACAAAGGTAGATACATATGCCCATACATCCGGATACGGGTGTAAGCTGAGGAAACGAAGATGGAGAGGGAAAAGATGACACACGAAGTTCCCAACAAAAGCCAACCTACACATTGTAGTATAAAGTGGCCGGAATACTTCGAATTTTCTAGGTGATATCTAGCCACAACCACGCGGCCGGTTATAGCCACTTGTACGTCAAGCCCAAAGGATTTACAAAGAGAAAAGATCATGCGGAAAAGCCATATAACATATTATTTTTCTATTTATTCTATCATGTTTTATAGCCGATCATAGATAGCGCTACAATTTTTTATGTGCTGCCGTCTATTACAAGAAATTATAAATAAATAATTAATGTTGAAAATATCTGTATATAGATGAGGCCAAATATCTTTGTCATACAGGGTATCCCCAAATAGAAATCTCGAAATACATTATAATTATTAGAATTAATAGAAAGTTAAACGCCATACATTTTAATTATCTTTGATTTAGAAGTTTGGAGACACTATACTTTATCCTTGCGTTTCTGTACAATTTTTGTACAAATCGATAGCTTGTTGATTAATGGAAGCCTGTATTTCATACTTACATTTCACATACCATATTCTTGCTGTGATTATGCGCAAAAGCAGAACGAGCTGATTTATTTATTTTCAGAATATAAGTATTTCTGATGAGGAAATAGCTATTTCTTAGGATTCGGATAATTTCTGATAGCATATGAAATAGCCTATTCCCAGCTACTGCATTAGGTTTACCAGATCGCCGAGAATACTCCGACATTTCATAAAATGTTGAGAGTCCCAGCAAAATACAAGTTGTCCCGGGAAATAACAAAACACTCATTTAAAATTACGAAAATATAAAAATGACTCTCTTTAAGTCCACTCCAGAGGAAGCCAAATTTGTGAAATCGGTGAACTCCAATGCTAAATAGTTCTGGCAAAGTAGAAAATAAGTACGTGTTTTAGTTGTCTCATATTTTGATCTCATAATTATGATTCCGCTGTAATCTTATAACTGATCAAAAACGAATTTTGTTGTAATAACTACAATTTTAATATTAAATTGTAAATTTTGAATTCGTAATTTTATTTGTCCCGACTATAGTTACAAAACCCCGACTTTCTGAAATTTGGCTCAGATACTTTGGTCGTCCCATCTAGTAACCCTATACTAGATTGACAAAATAAGTTACTTACTCATCTATTTCATGCTTGTTTTTGTCTCAGCACCCGTTCAAGAGGTAAATTCTTGACATCCAAATAGTATAATAAATAATGGAAAGTGACGTGGGTCTATTCACTTTAGAAACTGTATTTCCTAATGTTTTTGTGAATCGTTTCTCCCCAAATGACTCTCGTATAAGAGAAAAAGAGCCGTCGTCCATCAGCTTCTCTCTAGCGGCGAAGCTAATTTTCTGATGAAAAACCTAGAAAGGTAATATTTTGACTCAGACTTTCGTGATAAACGGAAAAATTTGTCTAACCGTCCTGAAAACCGGTTTTAATACATTCGGATCGAACCTCGTATCTACTCAAAAGACACCCTGAAAGCAGCGTGTATCACCGTGTGCCAGTCGCAACCCCTGGTGGCACCTTGACACATATTATTCACCTTCACCTTTATTGATCTGATGTGTCCAAGTCTGAACGTTATGAAAACACAAGAAACTTCGTCTTATCTGTTGTAAGCAATGGGGGCAGTGAATTGCAAACCGTGTAGGAAAAAGAAGAAAGCACTGCAAGGTGGCTCAATACTTGACAGGGTCATCAGTCAGGCCTCGAATCAGGACCAATGTTTGTTGTATAGGTTGGCAAACTATAAGAAAGGTAGGATCTTACATGAAGGCATTTAATTTGTTCCAAGAAGGGAATTTTTTTGTTTTATTGCACAGCAGAATATTTCTTCATATTTTTTTCAACGCTTCGCTTGGACCTTTAGGAATAGGATTCTTTGAAAACTTTGAGTAAAACGCCCTTAATAAAAACAATTGAAAAGAAATTAAGTCTTAGAATTTATTTGTTTGTTTGAAGCGTAGCCAGTGCGATTTAAAATTATGGTGAATGAACTAGCCAAGAAACCCTATTACAGAAAAATCAGCGCGACGCGAGTACAAATTCATTTTTTCCTTAATTACTGGACAAGGCAATGTGATTTCAAATTATTGTAAATGTTCTATACACTTTCAACACATTTCAAAAAACAGCGCAACGTCGTTACAAACTGGCAATTTTTATCGTGTTATACGAGGTAACCCTTTTTGTTTTGATATCTGACCGCTCCTTGTGTGACATGCTGGGGCTTTTCACAAGATGAAAAATATACTGACTACAATCGTCATTCGGGATTATGCGTACGCTAGAGACTCACGCGAAGCCCATTGCGCGTTTTTAACAATTAACAATGTTAAAATAAGCTAACGTATAGAAGTATTGAGAAAAATGTAACAGGCTTGATCAACAAAATAATGAAATTTCATTAAAAGTTTTATAAAAACGGTTAGTTATAGATCTTTTTCAGTTTGGTTAAGACTTGTCTCATCTTCCGTTGGACGCTTTTCTACCCCACTTTCCGAATTTTTCTAGGAATGCGAGATCGCAGTTGTTGTCCATTTTGGACTACCCATCAGTTGTCATGAACTTTTCGACGCAGTAGCTACCAACATTCTTTGAATAGCTGAGCTTTTGGTACATTTTGAGAAATAAGCTGATATCTAGAAGCAATATCCATTCTAGGGACATTCGATTCACTGAAACACTCACAATGTTCCTTCACAGGACATAATTCTTTCGTAAATGCTTCATCTACAACGCAATTATTTTTTACAATGCTATACCTCGATCCACAAAATTGCTATCATATGATGAATTTAAAAGACATATGAAGAAATTTATTTTGAATAGAAGTATATAACTTCGTCGATAAGATTTATCCTCACACAAAAATATTTCCAATATAGCATTCCTTTGTTTTGTATAACTGTTACAACTTAACTCATTAAATATTGAATAGCCTTCACTTATATATGTTATATATATATATATATATTTTATACACCTACATTTTTAAACTTCTAACCTATACATTGTATTTATGTTTTTTGTATTGTTTTTTCAGTTTTTCTTGTTTTTGGGGGGTGTTACGCTAAACCTCGCCCACTAAATAAAGACGATTTATTATTATTATTATTATTATTTCGGTAATTATCCTCTCGGTACATAATTAATATTCTTCTGTTTTAACCATTCTCGAGCTCTCCTGGCGTAATGGCGGGGTGGCCGGGCTAAAGTAATTATGTTGACGTTAAGTTAAGCAGTTTTGATAAGCATCTTTGAGTATAAAGCTCGGCATACTAAGCTTCTTCTTGAATTCGACCTACATATGGTACTGAGACCCCAGCCTCAGAAATTGCGCGCCAGACTGGAAGACTGGAACTTTGTCAGCAAATTTCGCTTTTGCTTTCAATTTTATTTCATTTGGACAATTTTCAATATCGGAGGTGTAAAATCTATCGTTACCTTTAATTTTTGCATGCGACAGTGTAAAATACTTTTATCATATCGAAGCAGCCGCGCAGGTAGAAGCCTAAGTGCCAGGACACCGCGGCTGCTATGAGAATCGCAAAGAAATTTTGTTAATCAGATTTTTGAACTGCCTCAGGTTAGTAGAACCGGGAAAAGCCTCCTCTTGTAGATTTTGTTCCACAATCTCGACATCTTCGGGACAAACGAGCGGTTGTATGGGCCAATTCTGGATATACGAAGTTCGACACGGTTAAGATGGGAGGCTAAAGTCAGGCGGGTATGACTGGCAGGCACATCGCGCAGCGGCATCATGGATTAGAGCTCTGAAGAGCAAAGCGGTAGAAAGACCTAGATAACCGACGCCCCGCCGGTGCGAAAGGGTCCTGAAACTGTCTGTAAGAGAATAGTTATCTATTAGTCGGACAGCCCTCCTCTGGACAGCAACAAGAATGAAAAATCTTGTCGGGGCGGCAGCACCACAAACGTGTGAGCTATTCTCGAGACTAGGTGTTCTCTGGACCTTGAGTGGAGTGAGGAGGCCATGTGAAGAAAAGTACTCGATAGCTCTAAAGAAATAGGCTAGCCTTCTCCCAGCAGCTGCCGCTATGAGATGAGATGAGATATATTCGTGCCAGATAAGTTCTCGGTGATCTGGACTCCGACCAGCCGTTAAATGAACGGCTCTTTTGCAGAACTGGACCATCCACCGAAAGCGTTAGGACGCTTTCTGTTTTCAAGGTACTGTACTGTGTTTTAGAGCCTGCAGGTCTCTGGTCAAAGAGGAAGTCGCTGCTAGACTTTTTTCCAGCTCAGCGGCAGAGATCGGCTTGTCGCCCTGAGTTCCTGCATGTAGAGTGCTGTCATAAGTTGAGCTGATTGATCGTACAGGAGAATAGGTCGTTAATGTGTAAGAGGAACAGTGTCGGAGCCAACACCGATCCCTGTAGAACATACGAGTTGACGTTGTGGGATGGAGAGGAGAACCCGTCAATTTCGACGAGACGGTTATCTTGCGGCCAGACAGAAAGTCAGCCACCCACAAACCCCTGTTTTTTCTCAGATTGGAGTACACCTCGTAATTTGGAAGCTAAGTGGGTTAACAGGTGCAGAATCCTCGCCAAGAAAAGCATGGCGGGACGATTAGATTGCAGGTAGTGATGAACAGTATCACTGTTGCTGTTAATCCCGCAGATGTTTTAGGAACAAATTTTATCATCGATGTTGTTCCTTCGAGTTCACCGTCCACCCGGACATTCCGCGAATGGAGTGAGATTGCGTCCGGAATTCATTACTAATTTCTCTTTTGGGGAAGGTGACCGACCCATTGGCGGATTTGCATCGCCACCCGGCAATGACTACTGAGGTATTCTTTAATGCGTATACAATCACTTGAACGGGAAGAAGTTGTATACTGAATACAACAACTTCCGGAACAAGCATTTACCACCGCCCCCAGAGCACTGCAACATCCAGGTATTGTTTCGACTTCGGGAGACTTTCTTCTTTTTTTTCGAAAATGCATATCATTTCTAAATAAATTCCTTTGCTCTGTTTTATACGAGTCGCTAAAGCGGCAACCTAGCTTTCGACTAGTATTTACAATTTTATGTTGTGAGTTTTCTACCAGTATATTAACCATGTTTTGTGAACAAATAACATGAAATCTTCCAGTTAAAGGCAATTAAATGCAAGGTATACCTTCTTCACAGTCTCTTATTGCCTTATAAATAGTTGCCTGGCTAACATTTTGATCAGTTCAGAGGAAGTTCACAAATTCAGTGTTGGGTAACTGACCAAATACGCTACGATATTCTGGCGAATTTCAAGTTTATACGACATTCTGTACTTAATTATTCAAACTTAATACGATCTGTTCACCTGCTGAGTCAAGGTTAATCTTCTTGACTGCATTTCATTTCAAATTCTTCACTCAGGTGGTGAACTGATCGACGCATACAACCAAGGCGGGTTCATCGAAGTGGAAAAACTGATCAGGGAACAGTTTGGCCAGTTGATGTACCGCGAAGGCAAGGGGCAAATCATCAATAGATCGGAATACCTCCGGTGGAAATTTAGGGACCACGAGCAAGTCACTTTGCCCATCGAAGCATCTTTGAGTCGTTTCGACCCGTTGGGAAAATGGACAGATCACGACGCCTGCTGGCAGATGCAGTTCAGAGGCTCGTTGGGTGAGACGCTGCTGCATGTTCTGATCATATGCGATACTAAGATTCATACGAAACTTGCCAGGACGTTGATCAGGTGTTTTCCGAAGCTTTCTGTTGACGTTGTGGAGGGAGAAGAGTATTTAGGTAGGTTCCTTCTTATGTACTGCCAAACTGTACAAACTTGCGTTTTGCTGTGAGCTCGATTATAATTTTCACGTCGACGACCGATGTCAACAAAACGAGGAACCGCATTGACCAAATTGCTACGCGAACGACTTGCCAAAGCGTCTGTGCTTTTGAGTTCGATGGATATAACTGCGAGCAGAAGAAATTTGTCATCGCATGGCAATAACGACGATTTTTTAATAATCGATCCCCATATGAAACCCAATTTGTCGTCAAGGATGGAGTGGCTCCAAAAAATCTAGTGAGCGAGGAACATGGCGTATCTGGAATTCATTTTCTGCACAATATGTACACACGAGAGAGATGCTCCATGCGCAGCACCTGAAACTAATTTGCAGGGGCGCGTTTGTAAATCAGTTGGCAATGTAATACCGTATCTACTCAGTAAAGGAATATAGATTGACAGATGAAATTTTACTCTGGAATACTATGAAACTTTATTCTTAGAACGTTGAAAAATATTTCAGCGTTTTCACTCTTAAATGACAGCCGACTAGGAATTGTTACAGAGTAGTAAATATAAAGTACACTGTAACAATTACGAAAGCAGCCCTACACACCGTACCAACTCGCTTCATCGTCGGTATTTTTGGTTTCACCCCCACTCAATAAGTCTAACTCCCTATCTCTAGTCTATCAGCATGACCTTCCATGGTCCACCCACCTTTCTTTTGTTAAAGAAAAGATATGAAACAATGAACTATCTTTATTATCCAAGAAAAGAAGTTTGAGATAGTTTGAAATGTAGATTCCCAATTATCGTACTCATGTCAACATATCTTGCAACACCTTTTTTTGCAATTTTGAAACCTTAAGGAAGGAGTGGGAAAATAGAGTCCATCTGCTTGAGGCCATTTTTTGAATCATGTTGTGAAGGAACCCTTCCAGTTATTTCTTTCGTTTTTGATTTAGAAATAGTGCTATTATCATTAGACTCATTCTGTACATTTTCAGGAGCAAGCGCATTACACCTAGCCATAGCATATAGTAATAATGAGCTAGTTCAAGATTTAGTCGAGGCAGGGGCTAACGTTAACCAAAGAGCTATAGGTAAATATGCTTTTTACAAACCCCGACGCTCAGCAACCGTCGGTTACTCCACGATCCTAGTCTCTTCCGCGTCACTTCTAGGCTTGACGTCAGAGTTCAACTGCAATGTACAGGGTGTCCCATTTTAATCTCTCCACTTTAATATTTCAAAAACTAATAGAATTCCCCCTTACGTCCGCGCATGACCTCGACTATAACCATTTCCATGACCTTCAAGTCCAATACGAGGTGAAATCAAGACAACAATATGCTCTAACAAAAATGTTCGACAGCACAGTTGTGAGCTTTGTGAGGGTCACCCAAAGGTGATTTTGACCATCACCTTGACCATGTCAAAATTTTATATAATATAAAAATTTTTGCACTCTGCAATTCCGACAAGGGGTTGGCTTATAAATAACATTTAACACTGGCATGACGTTGACTTTTAGATCAAGGTCACATTCGGACTCGACATGACTTGCTTTTTCCAATTTTGGGATAAAATTGAGAAGCTTCCTTTCGAAATTTTGACTTGAACTTGAAGGCCATGGTCAAAGTCACCTTTGGGTGACCACCTCAAAGCGCATTTTGCTAGAGCAAGTTGTTTTCAATGTCATGAGCTTAAAATGGCCTCGATGTCATAGTGATGGTCATGTTCAAGGTCATATTTGGACGAAGTACTTCCTTCGCTTTCCAATTACGTGTAAAAAGGGGAGTTCCATTTGAAAATATGGGCTTGTCTTGAAATTACCTTGAAAGTTGTAATGAATGTCATGGTCAAGGTCACCATCATTTTGCGTAGGTTTAGACATAATTATTTACGAGAATAAAATGAGATATCCTTTCACAAATTATCCGACAAATTTTAACCACATATGCACTGTTACGAAAGAAGTCAATTCCTCAAAATATAAAAAAAATAGAATAAAAGTCCTACAGAAATTAAGTTATAAACCTGAGTTTCAATAATAAATTGAAAAATAAATATCTGTATTTTGCGTTCATCGTCGTGATATTAGAACACGCATTAATAATTTATTGTAGCAAATGTTGTACCAAACAACCGATATAAAAAAAATACCAGGAATTTTTTGTTTTTCGTACTGATAAGAACGTGTAAATAAGGTTTAATCTGTATCATGGGTGATCTGAATGAAGAACGGTCAATTTATGTGAAGTTAAATAAGAAAGTATTTTGCGAGTTTATCTTTTAAGTTATTTATTAATAAAAATGGCACACGTGTACACTAATGAGGAGTTAGTGGACATTGTTTTAGCGTACAGAGAAGCAAGGCAAAATTCGCGAGCGGCTTATCGTTTGCATGCACACCGATTTCCCAAAAGGCACATATCACATTACGAAGCATTTAGTTCAATTGTTTTACGTGCACGTGCTAGCGGAGATTTGCTCTCCAGACGTGGAGTGGATGGGGGTCGGGTTCGCCCACAACGCGTTTTAAATGCCGAAGACGAAATTTTGGATATTGTGGAAGATAATCCGGTACAAGGCAGTTAGCCCAACAGGTCCCAGAAGTGTCATATGCAACAGCGTGGCGCATTTTACATGAGGCCCAACTGTACCCTTATCATGTCCAGAGAGTCAAGGCGTTGCTACCTACAGACTACCCCCTGAGAGTAAGATTTTGTGAGTGGTTGTTGCAAGAAAATGCTCGAAATGCCCGTTTTACAGCTGATATTTTGGCCACCGTTGAAGCTTTTTTAGTCGTAATGGGACAACCAATCTTCATAATACACACGTCTTGTCCTTTGAGAATCCTCATTCAGTGGTCCAGACACACTTCCAACATCGTTTTTCTTTAAACGTGTGGGCAGGTATTGTCGATGAACGTCTAATTGGACCGTTCATATTGCCAGATCCGATGGATGATCATACAGTATTTAGAATTTCTTCGGAATGATTTGCCGGTCCTTCTTGAAGATGTGCCATTGGCGATCCGAGCACGAATGTGTTTTCTGCACGATGGGGCACCTCCGCATTTTCGTTTAGAAGTTTGTGATTTTTTTGAATCAGGTGTACCAGATACGCTGGATCGGAACGAGTGGACCAATTGCATGGCCTCCACGGTCTCCTGATCTAAATCCTCTGGACTTATTTTTAAGGGGATACTTAAAAACGATGTATACCGTACTCCAGTTCAGAATATTGAAGAATTGCGTGACCGAATCACAGTGGCTGTCGCTAATTTGAGCCTTCAGGCACAACAGGAAGGAGGTGTATTTGAATTAATGCGCCGAAATTGGATTAGAAGCGCCCAAACTTGCATAGCAGTCAATGGAAACAATTTTGAACAGCTTTTATAAGTAAGTGAACTGCTAAACTGTATTATTTTATTATCTTGATTTCTGTAGGACTTTTATTACATTTTTTGAGAAATCAACTTCTTTCGTAACAGTGCATATGTGATTAAAATTTGTTGGATAAGTTGTGAAATACCCTGTATAAGTCTTGAAGCAGCGCTTAGGATAAATCTTCCTTTTAGAAAGTTTTTGTTTCAGGCAGTTTTTTCCTTCCAAGAGACCAACAGAGACCAAAGCCTGCGAAGCACACTGAATACGAAGGGTTAGCCTACCTTGGGGAATATCCGTTAGCTTGGGCTGCATGTTGTGCCAATGAGAGTGTATATAATTTATTATTAGACAATAACGCTAACCCTGATTATCAAGATAGCTTTGGAAATATGATTTTGCACATGGTGGTTGTCTGTGATAAACTGGTAAGTTGGTTTTGAAATAGCGTGGAATGGTATCGTGTTAAAGTTTTAAATAATTTCAGGATATGTTTGGATATGCTCTAAGGCATCCAAAACTTCCTGCCAGTAATGGAATTGTGAATGAAGAAGGCCTTACTCCTTTAACATTAGCTTGTAAGCTTGGTAAGTACATGGAAAGCTAAAATCTGGCTTAATGAAATAAAAATAATCGATTTCCCATTTAAATTAGCGTAAATATTAGATATTTTCATGAATTTGAGCAACATACATTTTTAAGGTAGAGCAGAAGTTTTCAAAGAGATGTTGGAGCTATCTGCAAAAGAATTTTGGAGGTATAGTAATATAACCTGTTCTGCATATACGCTTAACGCGTTAGATACATTGTTGCCAAACGGAAAAACCAGTAAGTATAGTCTTTGACTCTAGACTAAGAATTGTTACTAGACTACTTTTAGATTGGAATTCCGCTTTATTTATAATACTTAATGGTACTAAAGAAGAACATTTAGATATGTTAGATGGAGGCATAATACAGAGGCTTCTTGAAGAAAAGTGGAAATCATTTGCCAGAGTAAGCACAATATTAGAAAGTTTTAGTTTTTAATGAAACAAAGTAAGAACACCAAATCAGCGATCAGTTGAAATCTTTATTCAGAAATATAAGGAAATAAAGGAATCATACTTTCGATTTTTTTTAGAACCAGTTCCTAAAACGTCTGCTTATTCTAGTAGTTCACTTAATTTGTATGTCTCTGGCTCTATATTTGAGGCCTGATGATTTTGATGAGCCTTTACTGGGATGGAGGGATGATCCTACTACAATAGCAAGGTAAGGTCATCCAAGTTTGTATAAAATGTTAACAACATTGCCGAACCCTGTAAAGCAAGAATGGACAACTACCTCAAACGCAACCTCGATATTTCAAATGGTATGCACACTCGCGACTTTTGCAAGTCTGCGAAAATAAAAAATTGTCAGTGCCAATTAAAAATATGAAATAAGTTTGCCTCCTTATACGAGTAAATAGATAGTTTCTTGTGCGACATACGAGTATGTGTTATTTATTGTAGATACTGCGCTGAAATTGGAACACTGTTAGGTGTGCTGAGTTACGTGATTTTTCAACAGGGCGATGAGATACGGAATATTGGGTTGTGGACATTCTTGAAGCAACAGGTACTAACGATATTTTCATATACTATAATTTGAAATGCGAATTTTAAAATTCATGGATTCTATTTCTAGCTAAACTCTCCGCCGAAACTGATATTTTTGGTTTCAAATTTGCTGATCTTAGCCTGTATACCTTATAGACTAAAAGGAGATAAAGACACTGAAGAAGCCATACTGCTATTTGCTGTACCTGGATCTTGGTTTCTACTGATGTTTTTTGCAGGGTATGAATTGTATATATTTGAGTTTTTAACATTTCAAGAGCATGTGTCTAATTTGGTGTAGTGGGGCGTCTCCTATATAAAAACTAGTTCATATATTGATTGTAACTTTTACTTCCCACGCCACTGGCTCGGATTTGGATGAAATTTTCACACAAGGTTACTACTATGCCCCAAACGAAAAATGTTTATAGTTTTTGAAGACTGGTCCCACCAGTGACCGCATAGTTACCGGCCCAAAAATGGAAAAAAATAAATCGCCTAAACGTTGTAGTCGCTAAAAATTGGAGGTTGAGGGTTGTAGGGTATAGGGGAGGATATATCTCAGATATTTGATGTTAGTATATTTATATGCTCTTAAGCTTGGTAATTCTACGCATCTATTAGACATATTTCACACATCATAGATTTCCATGTACATTTGCACTTAAAAGTTAGAGGAATAGAAAAATGTTTTCGATACGTGCCTTTGTTTCTCCTCTCTGAGTTCACCGGCGGGAGTGTCGGTTTTGATAAGTGTCCTACATTACTGCCGCGGTGCCTCGTTGCCGCCTCGTGTGGACCGGTATGGGGGAGTGTCGACGTTGCCAGGTGGACGGTACTACTGATAGGACAGGGAAATAATTTCTGTGAATTAATTGTATGGTCCTTTCAGTGACTGAGCATAGTCCTTCCTAACTACGTTGCGTTGGAAGTGCAGCGTCAACTTACCTGACGCCATTTTTTTATCAATTACGACTACAAGAATTCTATTTTCAGGGCTGTTCGACTTACAGGACCATTTGTAACAATGATCTACAGCATGATCACAGGAGATATGCTTACGTTTGGCATAATCTACACTATAGTGTTATTCGGATTCTCACAGTCGTTTTACTTTTTATACAAAGGATTTCCAGGGGTGAAGGGGACACTATACCACAGCTTCACCTCAACTTGGATGGCATTGTTCCAGATTACTTTGGGAAACTATGACGTAAGAACCTATGCTAGACCACTTTTATTCAAATTTCTTACCCCATCACTCCTCAACTTACAAGGTGTTTCTTGAGTCGATTGATGAGAAAACAAAAAAAAAAATATATTGACGATGAAATTGCTGTAGCTGCTGAAGAAGTATAGAGCTTAATGCAAAAAATTGCTATCCGATTTTTTAAAATAACATATATTTTATGTAAAAATATGTTGAATTCAAAATCGTAACGTTTATATAACCTCTGTGATTAGAGAACCAATCATGATATCGGACAAAGGAAAAAACCATTGGATATATGGGAAAATTGGTGCCAATAACTTTATCCATAAACAGGGACACATTCAAGGGATATCTTAATTTAGCAAAATAATAAATTATTCCCATTTGTTCCTATTATACATTTTGTAAAAATACCCAATCCAAGCGATAGCCGTGTCTGCGCAAAAATAAGCATATGTATGGTAGCGGAGTCAACCATTTCAGCTAAATACCTGTCGGCCATCGCCTTTGGGTGTTTGTGCTTCTACCTCTCTACCTGCGAATAAATAAATAATTGCGAAGAAAGTTGGGGAATGATCTTTCTGTTAAAAGTTGACGACAGCAACAACGCCGTCAAGTCACCTAGTTTCGATGCTTGTACTCCCCCCTTGGATTACTGGAGGAAACAGAAGAATTGATTCACTCGGAAATGCACTTCTCGTTACCGTTCTTCTATTTTTAGTATCAGGAGTTAGGGGCTACAACTTATCCAGGCGTAGCAAAGACAGTATTTGCAATCTTCATGGTGTTCGTACCCATCCTGCTACTAAACATGCTCATAGCAATGATGGGCAACACTTATGCTCACGTGATAGAACAAAGCGAAAAGAGTGGATGAAACAGTGGGCTAAGATCGTGATCAGTCTGGAAAGGGCCATACCACAAGCGGATGCGAAGCACTATTTGCAAGAATACAGCATATCGTTGGGGCCCAGTGAGGATCCCAGTACTGAACAACGGGGGGTCATGGTCATCAAGTCCAAGAGCAAGACTAGGGCTAAGCAAAGGAAAGGGGCTGTTGCAAACTGGAAGGTAAGTGTTGTCAACATGTTGGGCAAGGTTATTAACTTCTTTTTGCCTTCTATCCTAAACGGCGCCGGTGAGACAGATAAAAGTGCCCAAAACCAGACCATTATTTTGTTATTGATTAAAAAATGGTGTTAAGTACGAGTACATTGACTCTATACTTCCCGCGCCTTCGAAACAAGTTCTACAATTATCAATACGTGAATACGTAGATTTTTGTCAAAACCATTAGTGCATTAGCAATGAGCATGCCCGTATACGGTAGCCTCATTTCTTTGGAGCCCTGGTGTAAAACTGTCAACAATGTTTGATTCGTACTTATATACTATTCAACTGTCTCTCTCTCTCTCTCTCTTTCTCTCTCTCTCTCTCTCTCTCTCTATATATATATATATTACCTCACGAAATCAAGTAACCTCATTAAATTGTACTCCAAGCATAATGCTAGTATTCGTATATACTCGTATACATAATATCGCAACCATCTCGAATGTGTATATCGCGACGCCGCGCCGCCTGCTACCTAAGCTACCCTATTTATGGCACGGCAAGTGCGACAGATAGATACGAGATATGTCTGTTGAAGGTCTTAAGGGCAAATGTACAGCGAAATCTATGATGTGTGGGTGCGTAGAATTAACCCCAATTTTTAACTCATACTACAATTTTTCTGAAAATAATAAGGCTCCTCTAAAACGTAAAAAATGGAGTTTAAGCGATTTTGTTTTTTGCCCTTTACGCTTCCGCCACTGCACCGTTTTTTCAAACAGTACATGACATAGAAGCTTCATCATGTGGAAAGTTCATCAAAATCAGAGAGCACTTTTCATGTTAAGAAGGGCCAATGATTAGCGGATAGACAGACAGACAGATCGACGGAAATGAGTGACATGGTGTTTCATGATGTACATGCCATATATCATCAAAAAAACATAATAAAACATCTTTTAAAAGCATCCTACCTTCACTTTGTAATTTTTAGGGTCATTTGAAATCGGGCATTCCTCATATTTCACTTATCAATAATAATGCCTAAAATATTGTCATAGTTGGAATGTTAAATAGATTTGAATCAATGCGCGAGAAGTGTTGGGTCAATCTACATGATTCCATTACTTCTTATTTGAATTTCTTCAGATGCCTCCAGTTGTCCATGCGGTAGGCAGGTTGTAGCCTATCGCTCTCACGGTTGTGAACCTTTAGTGTAAAATAGTTTTTTGCTATCCGATCCTTTTAACGTAGCAAAATCTATTGATTAGAAGGGTGGCTTCATTTGCTTAGTCCATTTTTAGTTTTGTAAGTACCAATACTGACACTTTTGTTTTAACAGAGGGTGGGAAGGTAACCATAAAAGCTTTGAAGAAGAAAGGACTGACAGGTGAAGAAATGAGGTGTCTGATGTGGGGCAGAGAATCCATCAACACTCCAGTGAAAACTAAACGGTAAGTTTTAGAATGGAACTAGAGGCCTGATTTCTTGGCGCTTTGATATATTTTTTTTGTTCATAAAAGCAAAAATCTGGATTGCGCCTGTCAGTGTATGTCGTGTAGGCGTCCAGACCTATGTATATCGTACTGATGAATCTTAAGCAGGATAAAACGACATAGTCTACGATTGGTTGACGAAATAACTGATAGAAAGTAGGGTACCTGCACCAACTGATTTTTTTCGTTTTATAATTTTCAGACCTCCTAAAGATCCATTGTTGGATCCACAAGGACCAAACATAGTAGGCGGTTTTGGCGATGCCCTAACTGCAGCGCTGGATGTGATGACGTTTACTCATGACCTGGATATAAGCAGTGCAGCTCAAGGTCTCAATTTGGCCAACAATCCAAAACCTCAGCCCCAGTTACAGTCCAATCTGGTTTGTATAAGAAATTGTGTATGTGTTGTATAGCTTCAGGTTCTTTTATTCATACAGTGTGGCCTATATACAGGGTTGCCCATCCATGTGTGGACGGAATATTACTCATTAGCAAATGCATTTTGGGAAAATCTATTTATACGATGTTATAGGTACATGACATTTGAGGGCACATTTCTAAAATATTGGCCATTATACAGGATGTCCCAATTTCGACCTACATATCAAAGCTGTAATTTTTCAAATGGAATGCCTCAAATTTCATTGCATATGTGGATAAACTAATTCAAAAGAAGAAAATTGATATAACATACTATGGGGTTTTGGTAATTAGTTACTGAGATATAAGGTGTTTTGGCTAGAAAAAACCCCCCACTTCGGCAACCCCTCAGTTCGCCATTTTGAAATTTGGAGTGCTAAATTCTCTATAAAAAAAACTTACACACCTCAGTTTTTTTCTTATTTGTTATTCTTTCGAATTTTAATATTTGCTCCTACATTGTGGTCAAAAACGCAAATTGTCGTTTATCTCAAAAATTTCAAATGCATCACCCTGTTTATTTGTGCAAGTTTTGATTCAATTATCTATAAGATTTTTTTTGATACTAGATACAAGGGTTTTTACGGCTACTTTTTCGGTTATTTGGCACGTCTTTTATGGAACGGCTTAATTCCCTAAAATATCATCCTTGGAAACGAATAAATTGTTGATTAGTTGCAAACTGTCAAAAATAGCTTTGTGAGCATTATGATAAAAACATGTTTGAAAATGAATATTACTGACATATTTTACAAACGCATTTCAGTAGGTGGCGATGTAGTAGTTGTTTAAAGCACATGTGTCCAATTCATTATGGAGCGCTACACGATGCCACACCGGGTCCGTATTGTTAAAACGTTTTCTTAAATAATGAGTCGATTATACCAACGATTCGAAAGGTACTACAAGATTTCGGTCGAAGTAATGTGCCCAGTGTCAACACCATTCGTCAGTTGGTGCGGAAATTTGAACAAACAGGTCAACTTAAAGACTCGCCAAGGTCGTGTTGTTCGTATTGGATATTCGTCGCACGTCATTATGCACTATTTTGAAAAAAAATACTTGCATTTGCGGCCACACATAATTCAGTTAACCCAAGAGCTACAGCCTAGTGACCATGAAAGTCGCCGACAATACAGTCATGCAATATTGCAGTTTAATACCCAAAATAACGATTTTTGCCGACAACTGATAAATAATGAGCGATGAAGCTCACTTCGATATGAACGGATTTGCTAATAAGCAAAATTTTCGTATCTGGGCATTAGAGAACCCTCGTGTCATCCATCAACGACCACTACATCCTCGTCGAGTCACAGTTTGGTGCGGTGTTTCGTATGGATGTGTTATTGGGCCATACTTCTTTGAAGACACTGCAGGTAATTATGTTACTGTCACTGGCGATCGCTACCGTGATATGGTGCAAAACTTTCTGGCTCCTCAAATCCAACAATTTAACCTACAAAACATGTGGTTCCAGCAGGACGGAGCAACTTGTCACACAGCTAGGGAATAATGAATCTTTTGCGAACAATACATCCGGGACGCTTAATTTCTCGAATTTGGTGATTTCAACAGGTCACCAGGGTCACTGGACTTAACGGCTACTTTTTTATGGGGATTTTTGAAAAATAGGGTTTATGCCAACAAACCAAATACTGTAGAGCAGCTGAAGAACAATATTACGGAACCGATTTAAAATATTCCTCCCGAAACCTACCAAAAAGTGATGGAAAATGTAATCAAGAGGGCTCAGGTTTGCGCGGCTTCTAGAGGCGGACATTTGTCTGATATTATTTTTTATATATAACTTCTAAGTTTCAATAAAAGATTAAGATGAAAAAAATGGACGTATTTTATTTCATTTCACAAATATTCAAGATACAAACCAGTCAGTTACATATCGGCCACCCTGTATCTATAGTTTCTTTATTATTGGTACAGTTCCTTGCTTCTAGATTACACTCAACTTCAAATTGGAAGACAGTAACGTACGCTATCGTGCTGAGCCTTTGAATACAGTGAGATCCGCGCAACGCGACAAATTTATAGTAGATCTAGGAGTAGTCATATTTGAAGCAGGATAATGACCGGACTCGTATACACTGAAAACCAAATTTGGGATTGAGTTCAATGTGTGCAAGAGACAAGTGTGTATCGAGAATCTGCCTTGCTGGCTTTCATCTGCGCACACACAGGCAGTTATAATTTGTATTGAGTAACGTTATTTGTTAGATTTTCCGACCGCAGCGCTGTAGCAGAATGTAACAATAAGTCAGGATGTGTTGATTTTATCACCGTCTGTGGAAACCAAAGGTAATTCTAAAAAAAATTAAAACTAAGTCGCATCGAAATTGAAATAAATAATTCTAATTAAAATGAAAACAAAATAATAAATGAAATGTTCAAGCAGACTTCCTTCTTGAGATTTACAGTAACCTAAACTATTGTAGATCCCTGTGCGAGGATTTTCTGATGCAACATATTGGCACCGCGGCAGATTGCATGACCTTCTGAGGCAAAGTGGTGAGGACCTTCGCTCTTCCGCCGGCTTATATCTTTTTCTAATATGTGTGGATATACACATCTCTCATTGCTCACTCGTACACATTGAGCTCAAGCCGTCAGACAAATTTAGTTTTCCCTGTACAGATGACTGGTTCAAGTGCAAAGTGAGCCATCAAAGTACTCGTTTCCATTGGTTCACACCTGATTTCCAGAGACATCGTCGGGATATAGTTTGGCCACTATTCTGCAGTTATCATGCTCTCTTGTACCACTTAAATATATGAGCACGTATATTAGAGTAAGAGTGCAAATGAACCGATCCAGGTTCGGTATTCTTGTTCTCATCGGGACTTACCGATTACCGACAACTGTCGGCTTCATATCGTAGCCTAGATGCGATGAGCTCGCGGAAAGTAATTTGCCATATCGGCAGCTTGGATTAGAATTGAGCTAGCCTGGACGATCAACAGAGTTACTTCAGAACATAATATTGTAGCAGATTTATTATGCTATAAGTAAATATATGCTTGAAAATATGTGGTTTAAAACGCGGGGCATAACAACAAGGTACCAAAACTGAAACATAACTTGATGGGCTAAAAATACAATGTACTGAAATGGCAGAATTTGAGAACTAGTTTCCTATGTGCAGTGGTTTCAGTTTATTTTAGAGCCACGGTCGTTGCAGATTTCAGTGGTATAAATAACGTACTTATATGTAACATATCGCATATATACGTAGCCCGTACCTACTATTCAAAAGATAAGGTTAGGCATAGTACATAATCTTAACATCAGTTATCTACGACCGGGCGGTCAATTGTACTTTATGGATAGGCTTCTTGGGCGTTAAATCTCAGTTTTCAACACACGGACTGCACGGGCAGACATTGCATCATATTCGTTGTTAGGGCGTGCCGCTGAAACGACCATTCAATTTTTCTTCATATTTTAATTTTCAAACATTAACGCCATAAATGCATAAATAACTATTAGTGCCTGTTATTATAACTCTTAATAAAATTTTGGCAACTAGAAACCATTGGCAGTAGCTGAAGTGTAAAAAGAACGCACCATAATGAAGAATTTTGCGCCGTCTGTCTTTGTATCCCAAAATCAAAAGTTATAAGTGTATGAAAAACATATAGGCTGTAGTATATTGCATAACAAATCATCTGATAATTAACATAGGACGTCTACTATATTTTTACCTCGTTGATCCATCTTTTTTCGTTTACTTTTCCATGTTCCATGTACTTCTGTTCTGTGTAAGTTCGCTAACTGTCTTCTCAGATCATAGAGGGTACTGTTAAATGAACTATGAAACGGATGGTCTCGATACTCATATAGCCTTGACATACATCAATAATCCAATTATGAATGATACTAAAAGTAAGGTGATGTAACAAAACAAATTGTATAGTATTGAAATGGCATTTAAACAAAAATTGATCAAATACGACGAAGTATGACATGTTGCATATCGCGCGGAAAAAGACGTAGGTACGAGTAAACACGTTGTGGAATATGGTCTACCGACGGTTATCGATAAGTTCCGATTTCCATTTCGACAAAAATGTCGGTAAGTGTAACCAAAGACTCCATGCCTCAGCCTAGATGCGACGAGCTCGCGGAAAGTAGTGCAATATGTACTGATAGATTGAATACGACATTTCGACAGTTTGGAAGAGAATGAACTAGCCTGCACGATCGATAGTGTTACTACAGTACATAATATTTTAGCAGATTTATTATGTTCTAAGTCAACATCAGCTTGAAAATAGACAAACTATTAGGGTTGCGTGGTTTCAACTTGTGGATTAAAACGCGGGGCAAGATACAAAAACTGAAACAGAGCTTAATGGGAAAATTAAAAATATGAAGAAAAGCTGAACAGTCGTGTCAGCGGAATTTTCCTATCAACGAATGTGATGCAATGTCTGCCCGTGGAGTCCGTGGATTGGAAAGTGAGATTTAACGCCCAAAATGCCTATCCATAAAGTAAAATTTACCATCCGGTCGTAGATAGTCGATGTTGATTGTGTAATAGGCATCTATCTATCTATTAAGGTTTGAACTTTTCACCACATCTTTCGAATAGTACGCGCTACATATGTATGCTATATGATATACATTTGTTATTTATGCGACTGAAATCTGCAACGACCGTTGCTCTAAAATGAACTGAAACGGCTACACATACGAAATTAGTTCTCAAATTCGGCCATTACAGTAAATTGTATTTTTAGCCCATTAAGTTATGTTTCAGTTTTGGTATCCTGTTGCTATGCCCGTGTTTTAATCCACAAGTTGAAACCACGCAAACTTAATAGTTTGTCTATTTTCAAGCGGATAGTGACTTATAACACAATAAATCTTCTACAATATTATGTACTGTATGTATGTACTCTATTGATCATCCAGGCTAGTTCAATTTTAATCCAAGCTGTCGATATGGCAAATTAAATCTGTCAGTACACATTGCAGTACTTTTCACAAGCTCATCGCATGTAGGCTAGGGCGTGAAGCCTTTGGTTGCGCTTACCGACAGCTGTCGGTGAATAATCGGTAAGTTCTGATGAGAACCAGAATGGTACCCTGACACCATCGACAACGAGTCTGAGACGACTGCTTCTTCTTTTATCACGCATCTCGCTCTAACATACATGCTTCCTTTCTCTGAATACAGTGCTGGCCAAAGTAATCTTCCCTTTTAGATTTAGATGCGTATGGGAGAAGAAGTATTAGAAAGATTCCATATGAGTGTCGCTACCACGTTGCCTGGCAACGAGATTGAGGAAGGGCGCAGAGTGCGGCTGTACTCCTCCTCCAGCCTTTGCCAGGCAACGTAGTGACGATGCTTTTATGGACACTCTCTAATACGCTTATATCCCTTTCGTACACATGAAATTCTAAAAGATAAAACGACTTTGGCCACCACTGTATAGGATTACACACTTTCTTTGACGGTTCCCGTTCTACTTCCCACGCCTACTGGTGAGGAAGTATTGTAATCGCGAAAAATTTCAAAAATGAGATATAATGTTTTTGGATGTTATATGATACATCATATGTACATCACGAAAAACCATGTCACTCATTTTCGTCTGTAGGTCTGTCCGCTAATCGTTGCCCAAAAATGGAAATAATACAAATGGATAATTCTTCGTTCTCTGACCATTCATTTTTGAATAATTTGTAAGAGATAAAAGGTTGAGGGGCGGGAGATTGTAGGGGGATGAGGGAGGGTTATCTTAGTTTTTCAAATCAAGTATGTTTGTACCTTGGTAATTCTAGGCACCTGTCAATAGAGTATTTCACACATTCATAGATTTCCTCGTAGATTTGCACTTAAAACAAAATTATCGAGAAGTGCTTTCGATGAGCTGCTTCTGATTTATGGGTTCACCGGCAGGCGTGGTAGTCTTGCTAAGTCTTCTGTCGTTACTACCGTGCTGCCGCGTCTGACGCACCGTGCAGCAAGGTATTGAGGAGATGTGACGTTGCCAAATGGATGGTACTACCGGTAGGGCAGGGAAAGAATGTCTATGTACTAATTGTGTGGGCTCGTATAACTGACTCGATCCATCTAATTTCTCCGTTATACCTGTTTGTAACTAACTTTTCTCTCAAAGCGCATAACTTGTGCTGCATATAATCATTTATGAACTGATTACGGTATTGCGTGGGAAAAGTAGGATCAACCTACTTGACGCCACTTTTTCCTGGTTCTACTATCCGAAATTTACCCTGCATACCATAGATGCAGAAGTAAAATATTTACCGACGTTTCGGCCTCCGCGCCTCAGTCTGTTGCGAGTACAAAATGATAGTCACCGCACTAGCATTGGCGTACTATGGATTACTGTAAAACATTTGTTTTAGGTACAAAATGGAGTCGTTGCCAATAACGAGAAAAACCATGCTTTTACTAAGGATGACAACAAAAAGCCCGCTGAAATAGCAGGTAAGCTGGCTCTACTCTTTTTTAAATACCTTCTACATGTTTATGTAATTACATTTTGAATGTTGAGCTTCTTTTTTGGATGAAGTGTCATAATGCCTGTCTATCGTACTGTGAAACATACAATTTTTAGAGAATATTCTAAGAAATTTTAGATACCTTTACATTCTTCATGTTCCTTAACCTGCATTTGAATTATATTTATACTCTTGATTTACAATTTGCAGACGTTAATGTTGGTATGTTTGGAGCCCTCACACAACTTGCAGAGTCTCAAGGCTTTAAGGAACCTAAAAAGGAGGTACCTCAGGCTCCAGCTATTTATACTACACCGTCAACAGATTCTCCAAACGTGGATCCAACTTTAGTAGTTGTAGATCCCATCAAGGAACTGGTGATCGCTTCTGAAGATGAAAGAGCTGATCCGGAGAAGTTGAACTTTCTTGCACAGTCAGCAGTCAATTTAGGTCGGCATACATTTTGAAAATACGGTTGATAAAAAATTCAAAGAAAAGGACCCGGCAACACGCCTATGGGAAAAGTGATTTCCGTTAATTTCGCTGAATTTTTGATATGTTTTGCGCCTTGGCATCCTGAACAAATGTTTCAATGGTCACAGGCCCCTAACCTCAACGGGTTCCAAGATATAGGCGATCAAAGTCGGCATAATGGAGTATCGGCCCTACTCAATATCTGCTTCAAGTGGAAGAGTGGTTTCGGTTAATTTCGCTGAATTTTTTATATGATATGTGTCTCGACGTCCTGAATAAATGGCTCCATGGGCACAAGCCCCAAAACTCATCGGGTCCTAAGATATAGGGCATCCAAGTCAGTATAAATTTTTCATATGTTATGTGTGATGAACAAATGCTTGATGGTCACAGGCCCTAAAACTCAGTGTCCCAAGATATAGGCCGACCGAGTTGGTATAATGGGATTTCGGATTTACTCAGCTATCTGCTCTATCTAGAAGAGTGGTTTCTGTTAATACAAAACGAATAATTTTTGAAATCTCATGCATCACGTCATCCTGAACAAATGTCTCAAAAATCACATATAATTGGAACCACATCCCCTTTTCGTTGGGGTTGGAAGAATTATACGAAGTTTCGTCGCAGGTAGGCCGACGAGTTCATTATTTGTTGCAATTTTCTGTTTAGTTTTCCATTGCATTATATACTTTTTGTTGGTCGTTTCTCATATTTCGTTTATCGTTAATCGTGTTCCGTTTTTGGTGCCTCGTTTTTCGTTTTCCATTTTCCGTTTTCGTTTTGATTGCATTTTATACTATACCAGCGATTATGGCGCAGCGCATTCCATGTTATGTGTGTAATGACGTTTTCGCTATTCGAACCATGCGACTTGTGAGAAACTTTAGCAATCCAAAAGTGGAGATTGCTATGAGGTACCGTGAGGAGCTGAACCACTCTGCTTTTGTGATAAACGATATAATTATTACGTGTTTGTTTTAAGTGTGATTTATGGTATTACTTACACGGGATGAAGCGGCCTTGCAAAATCCCGAAAGTCTTAGGTTGAATGCCCTTAGACAAAAATCCTCTGAAACATATATGATATGTAATCACCTGAGTGTACATTTGCACTGGCTTAGCATTGAGGCTCTAATTGAAATATTTTTGGAGAGTAACATAACCATCTCGGATCTGTTCCCAGCACCTCGATGAAAAAGGATTTCGTTTGAAAAACGAATATAGAAAGAATATGTCAGTAGATTTTGTACACGATTAAGAAAATCGGCTCAAAAAAATCGTACACTATCTCTTGATCCTGATAATTTGACTAATGAAAATTGTACTTATCTTACTTCGATATCAAAAGCTCAATTCAATAATTTACATGAGTCTTGCATTTATGTCGCTGGAGGTAATAACTTTCGTGGTCACAAAATCTCGCCCTATATCTTGGGACCCATTCAGTTTTGGGGCCTATGCCCATCAATGCATTTATTCAGGACGTCGAGACACATAACATATGAACAACTCAGAGAAATTATCCGAAACCGCTCTTTCACTTAAGGCATACATTCGAGTATAACCAATACATTATATTGACTTGGATACCCTATACAGGGTGACTTGGAAGTTGAGTCATTAATTTTCAGATAATGATTGTAGAAGGAAGATAAACCAAAATATGCATGTAAAAATAAAAAAAAATGTTACCTTGTTTTATAAAGTATCCTCCCGACAAGTATTTCAGTGCGGACCTATATTTGATCGTGCGGTCTTGGAGCACCGGCATGCCCTCCTCTGTGAGGTCTTAAGTCACCTGATTCACCAGGCCTTTGTACTACATTAACAAAGGCACGAGGGGTTGGTTGCACTCGATTGGGAAACCGATCCGCATAAATCCGTGATGTCGCGGCAGCATTTTGTAAAGCATTTTCGTAAACGTGTGCCATTTTTTATTTCGTTTGAGCCACGCAACAAACACCACTATTCACTCACGCGTTACCGACTGACTCATTGACTGAATACAACTGAATAAAATTGTAGTAAAAACATCGTGATAAGCGTTTCAAATTCTTTCGCTTTTTGTTTCCGATGCGATGAACCGATAAGGCGGATTATATCCGTTGTTGCCAAACACGAGCACATAATATTATTATTGAGACAGGGCGGTACTCAAACTTCTAAAGGGCTATAACTTTGTTACTTTAATTTTACCAGAAAAATGTTAAAGGAAAAAACATTTCTTTTGATCAGATCTACTCACTGTTAAAATAAATGACTCAACTTCGAAGTATCTTGGGACCCGTGGAGGTTAGGGGCCTGTGCCCATTAAAACAACCTGTTCGGGATGCCAAGACCCATAACATATAAAATTCAGCGAAATTAACCGAAACCTCTTTTCCCCTTTCTACATACAATGTGCCCCTCATTCGCTTCTCTATACAGCGATCTCGGTTCCTGTTATAGCTTCAACAAAGGTTAAATGGGGAAAATTTTAGAGAAAACTTAGTTTATTCGACAGCCTGCTTCAGATTTACGATAGGTCAACTGGTTTTGGAAATATCGGCGAAATGTCGAATTTTGTTTTTGACAATAAATCCGAAACAGTTAATTTGACAGCTGTCAAAATGTGAGATTATTCGGACATTTTTCTAAGGCAAATAGGATAGCGTGTGTGACATGTCTCAATCGTCTTTTATTTTCCAGCCATCCGCCGCAACTACCATTTTATTATGGCCGCCATATTAAATTTTTTGATTTTTGGAAAGAGTGTAAAATTCCCAGTCTAGTGATGTCTCACAAGTGTATAAATGATGGGAGTATCACCGAAATATCATCACACGTAATGTTATGTATTAGTTTTTTCTAAGAAAGCCATGATTTATTTGTCAGAAAATAGCATTAATGAGTAGGGCATAAAAAGCACATAAACGCCTTGAATTTTCAATCGAATATTAACGTCAATATCGACTTCTCAACAAGTCAAACGTTTTGGGACAAATTCTCAACTATGAGTGTGTTAAACAAACAAAAAACATTTTACAAAATCGTAATGTAATGTAAAAGCTAATTATGTAAGTGGGTATTAATTTACACATTTGCAAAATAACGTCCATTTGCATACAGACATTTTTGACAAGTTGGTGACTGTCTTTCGTACAACCTTGGCTAGTGCATTTCTGTTAGTGCTTCTAACTGTGCTCAAAATTCTTCTTATCAGGTCTATGGTCGCGGGAGGATCAAATTCATAGACCTCATTCCCAAAACCAATTTACCGATCGTAAATCTGAAGCCGGCTATCGAATGCAATAGCTTCCTCTGAAACTTTCCTCATTTAACCTCAGCTGTAGGTATAGCAGGAGCCGAGATCCCTGTACATATAGAGACGTCAATTTTGGGACACACTGTATAATATTTAGAAACTTTAGAACTAACTTTAAACAAACTTCTCATAATGAGAGACACTCATTATGAATTTATATCACATTGCTCAAGTTAGTTATTATTATAAGAAGCTGTCATTTTCAGTTTTCTTCAAATCCGACTTGTTGATTTACATGTATGGCGCCCGGCGCCTGGGTTGAGTATTGGCGTAAGTCGTACCTTTTCACCTAATTTTTGCTGGGCATTGCTTATTTTCACAAGAATTGTACGTCGTGTAGAGGAAAGTCCCAACCTTTTCGAATGGAAATTTTCTTTACTGTCCCAGTTAGCTAATGGTATGTTTTTTTTCAAATAGTGGTGGGTGGTGAAATACAAGTTCTAGCCCCAACCGTAGCTCCAAAACCTCAAAACCAAATGATGAAAAATGTAAAAACGTTAGCTGGCATTTTAACAGTGCTGAGACTTTTGTTAAGAAGGTTGAGGAGACGAAGAAGAAATATTCTGCGTTGGATCCCAGCGATAGTGATGGATTTGGAGGTACGATTTTATGGACTATAAAATACTTTGGCGAACGATTAAATTTGTATAAATTGAAAAACACATAATATAGATTAACAAGTGGGATAGTGGGAAAAAAGTATAGATTGAAGAATTTAGAAAAATAAAAAGTCGTTACATGGCAGAACTTACCATATATCTGCAAAATATAGCTGAAGAGCACGAAACTTGTTAGCATTAGTATTCTAGTTAAAGACATTCAAGCGAATGCTTCAATCATGCATCCAATAAATTATTCTACGTAGAATGAAATACCGTAGCGTCATCTATGAGAATCGTAGTTATGCATAAACTTAGATGAAAAACAAGGACAATCGTGAGCATGTACGCAATAAAGCAACAGGAGCAGAAATAGGCGGATTGGTCACCCCATGTCTTTCTGCGTATTGGCCTCATAAGGCCAAAATGGATGTGCAATCACCGAAGTGAAAATATCTATATGCATCTGGATACAGGTATTAAGGGAAATATAACTAGAAGCCACCAATAAGAGCCAGAAGGCATGAGATGTGATGGTCATACGTGTTCACTTCAGTGTTTTTGATGCACATCAATTTGGGCTTGATTAAGTCAATAAGCAACATTGCCACCTTTTTTCCTTTATAAGATGGAATAATTATAATTTCAATATGACGTTTCGTTACTTGCCATCAATCATCAACTTTATTCTATCATATAGACGCCATATTGGACTTTTAGACTTTTCAATTCTGATTCCAGAATTATGTCATACTTTGAGATTGTCAAGCCTAAGTTATTTCGAAAAAACTAATATTGTCAGAATTGGCTTTAAAGATGACAGTTTATTACATGTTATGCTTGTTTATGCCAATGCTTCAATTTATGAGAAGCGTGCTTAAAGGAAATTCAGATAACTTGCCCATTTAGTGACTATAGTGAGCGTTATTTTGGCACCATGGAGGCGCTCTACATGAAACCTCAGCCATAGATTAATAGTATTTGAATGCAAGATGTGTGCATAGATATGAGGGATATGACATGTTCTTAGGAAGCTGCAACATGGTTGAAGATTTTACTTGCTCCAAAATCTTTCTCTCATATACATGGAATAATACTGTTTTTAATATGTTTAATACGACCTCTAAATAATATGGAAGAGTTTTAGTAGCAGGTTGTTCTTTATTCGATGAGTTAAGACCAACCATAAGAAGATTACTTTTTTCGATGTTTGAAGTTTTATAATACCAATCCATGTCATTATATATAACACCACTATTCACTCACGCGTTACCGACTGACACATTGACTGAATACAACTGAATAAAATTGTAGTAAAAACATCGTGATAAGCGTTTCAAATTCTTTCGCTTTTTTGTTTCCGATGCGATGAACCGATAAGGCGGATTATATCGGTTGTTGCCAAACACGAGCACATAATATTATTATTGAGACAGGGCGGGTACTCAAACTTCTAAAGGGCTATAACTTTGTTACTTTAATTTTACCAGAAAAATGTTAAAGGAAAAAAACATTTATTTTATGTATATGTATGTATATGTATGTATATGTATATATAATGACATATAAATATGTATACCTAATTCATAATAATGGAAGGAATGCTCAGCTGATCATATTATGAAACAAATGACTATCTACATACAATTTCAAAGCCTACTCGTTAGGAAATACTGTTTTTCTGAAATAACTTAGGTTGGCAATGTCAATGTATGACATATTATACATTTTTCGAATCACAATTACAATTTCTGTACAACATCTGTGCAACAATCCAATATGGGGTTTATAAGAAAAATAAAGTTGATGGTTGAAGACACGAGAAGAAACTTCATATTGAATCTATAATTACGCCACCTTGTCTAGTATTTTTTATCTCCGGCAAATAATAATACTCGGAAATTCTGAACTTTTTTAGTGCCATTTTTCAGATAGATGCCGAACTTTGCTTCAAATTAACCGACATCGTATCTCTTACTGTCTTCCAGGTACCGACGGTCAGAGTCGAATTTGGAAAACTTGGTATATAGTAAATAGAGACACAGCTGAGAAAAATTCTCAAAAATGACGCTACGGCGTCTCATTTTATCTTAGTTTTTTTTTTGTTGGGGGAATTTAGCATTAGGTTGGCTATCTTCAGGTAGAATGCGTTAATCATTGGTTTTAGTTCATCTTCTATGTATATTTTTTAAAATTGTTTTTGATTCTCTCATTATAGAAGTTCCGATATTGGGAAAAATATCGAGAACTAAACGTGTGAAATCAGCTCACCTGAGGAACTCATCAGCAAAATCCAAATTTTCGGACAAGAGAAGACTAGTGCTGGAGTCAGACTCTAGCTCAACAGAGCCGGCTGAAGATTTAAGCAAGGACGTTTTCAAGTGTATCAACGAGAGGAGGAAATGCGTGGAAACACCTCCACCGTCTTTTGTTGATATTGCGATGTCAAATGAACAATTGTAAGTTCGAAATAGGAAATTCTTCAAACTATATTTGCATGTTAAACTAATTTTTCATAACTGCAATTATTTGAGGCGCTGACAGAAATAGATTCATCCAAATGAGTTACATGGAATAATTAGACATAGACAAATAAAATAAGAATGTATTCATTCTCGGAAATGCAGAAAAATCGCTTTGAGTATTAACACTTCATTACTGAGTCCTATTCCATAAAAAAACTAGTCTAGTAAATTGCAAATTACAAATAGTAGAATTTGTAAATAAGGTCAAATTATATTTTATTCCACATATCACCGACTGTAAATAACCTCATACTGAAATTAAAAGTGCAGCACTGACAAAATGACATTTCCTAAACAGGCTAATTTGTAAACAGGGAACGGACTGCATTTGAAATCTTAGAAAAATAAGACTGGCTCTGAAAAAAGACATGACAGTGTTTCAGAAATGCTTTTTGGTTTAATTTAGAACAACTTCGTCGTCCAATAATTGATTATGATAATTTTGAAGACGGTATTGAGACGACATCCTTGGAAGGATCGAGGAACCAGATTTCCATCAACAAAGATCTCTTACAACTCGGATAATGTAGAAAGAAAACCACACAAAAATAAGATGATATCACAGTTGAAAAGCTTAAAGATGAATCTGAAAATAGAATCTCAGTGACATTAGAAGTGTTACACCCAGAAAACATAATTTCCTCAACTTGATTTTTGGCAAGAATGAAACGATAACATTCTCACGAAATTTTATTGACAAGTAATAACAAAAAAAAATTAATGTGTTGGGCGACCCAGCAGCTGAATACACGCCTATATACGTCTAGGCATCGAAAAAATAAGATGATTATTGATTTGTTATGCTTAACACTAGATAGTAAATAAAAGGGCAATAACTAAAAATATCTGTACTACTCAGCTCTCAGAAGCCGCTTTCTTCACAAAATCTAAGAAATAACATTCTAACAAAGGTAAACAAAGACAAAGATAAAACGTTGACATTGTTGCCACATCATTCTTTAAATTAGTCATTATGTTGCCAAAAAACTATTTGAAGAAATAATTTTTTCTGGGTGTAACACTTCTAATGTCACTGAGTATAATTCAAGTTGCGCTCTATATTATTATTATTTTGAAATAAATCTATTGTATTTTATTGAAAAAATTGTAAAAAATTACAGTGATTTTATTGAGTTGGCTAAAAAGTATTGAAAACCAGTTAATTTGTAAAAAGGGAATGAACTTTAACCGGTAGATTTAGCCACAAAATAACAAAGCACATGCATATGTATAGAAAAATAAGACTGGCTGTTCGATAAGATCGATTTTTTTATTTAGAACAACTTATTCGTCGTCCAATAATTGAATATGGTAATTTTGAAGATGATATTGACACGACATCCTTGCAAGGTGGGCCATCGAGGAACCAGAATTTCTCCAACAAATAGCTCTCACATTTCGAATACCAATGTAGTAAGGAAAACCACACAAAAATGAGAAGATACGACAGCTAAAAAAGTAAAGATGAATCTGCTGAATTTGTAAAGAGTTAGTTACGTTTGATGACGTCGATCTTGACATAAATTAAGATCCCTATGTTACCATTTGTTGAATTCGAAGTCTATAACTAAGGTTGATACTACCAAAAAAATTAGTACTTTTCAAATACCTTTTGATCCCCTTTATGGGTGATTTATTATCATGTGATTTTTGTTTATACCAAGAAACTGTTCCTAATCTTTTCTAGAAAACGAGAAAGCGCAAATGTTTTTGGAATAACAAGAAAAAATTCTACAAATTTTACTTTGATGAAACATAAACATCTATCTTGTGAATATGGACTTGTAACTTGTAACATATAGAGTAGTACTAGTATATTGTGTTTGAAACTGACATGGAAGACAATATCTGGTATTAATACGAGTTATTTGTAAATTCATATACGGCATAGTGCCCTCCAATCGTCTAAGAAAAAGTTGCGTATATTAATGTGAAAACCATTATTAAAAATTATTACTGCACTAGATATATGATTGAAATTCGTGATTATAGTTCCAAATTTTTCAGGTTTGTTACAGTTTCTGAATCCACCCTGACGGTTTCTGGTGCTGGCGCTGGAGAAGACAATCAATCTGAGAATATCAAGGAAAAGAAAAAGAAAAAACGCTTCAAAACTGCAAAAACAAACAGGTATTATAGCACTGTAGTTACTCATTCTTGATCTCTTGGCACCTGCTACTTTGTTAAGAAATATACTATTTCCAGAGTTGCACCGGTAGTGAACACAAGAGGCTGCAAGTCAGCTACGGTTCAAGCAGAGTCAGAAGGATCTGCGTCTCCTGATCCGCTGGAACCATGGAGCACCAAGAAAATCGCTAATATGAACACTTTGTTGGCATGGGAAGACCAAGAAAGCTTATAAATGAATTTATTGTAAATATCTATTTGTTGGAAATTTAATCTTGAAGCACGGCAAAACTTTTGAGGATAATGATTCGGATAGTATAGGAATATTAAATTTTTTTAACCAAACGAAAAGGTCTGATATTTCTTTACTACTCCGAATCGGAATTTAATATTGATTAACTGGTTGCATTTCATTTGGAAATGGATTCTGATTGTAAAGATTTATCCAATTATCTCTCTTATATTTTATATTTTTAAGACAATCATTCTGAACCTGCATATATTACTTGTTATTAGTGAAGGATATAAATAAATTAACTTTGAACAGATCTAGGCATATATTGAAAATCAAATCAATGGCATAAGCAATTTTGAATATTGTTGGACATTCAGTTCTCCCAATTTACGTAGTTTCCCAGTCCCTCATGCAAGTGTTTCAATAGTTGTTGTTTTTTGCCACATTTTCCAAGTACATCGTCTCCATCTATTGGAAATACATTTGCTCCAAAGAAACCTTGTTCTTTAATATATTGACCCTAAAAATATAGGAAGCAAATATTCAATTACTATTCTAAAGGCTACAAGTTCTTGTTGCATAATAATGATAGAGGCTTAAACACATATGAAAAACTTACTTTGATTGTTACCGAATCTTTGTCTCCATAACTGATCCACACATTTCCTTTATACTTGTAGTTCACTTTTGTTCGTCGTCCCAAACAGTTGTGTAGTTGCCGTAGTTGAGACAAATCTGGAAGATATTCGCTACTGTTATCTACTCTCGAATCAGCTATGCTTCGGGGTATGTATTAATTTTGCAGTGTTCTGTATGATAATTGTACTCTATATAAAGCTCCGATATTAGCAATTAGCATCTACATAGGCAGCACCATGTGGTTAGCATTGGACCTAATACCCTTTATATCATACATGCATGGTCTAGCTTACCTCAGACCATCTCACGAAACCTCCGTCCACCCCAGGTCCTCTTGCAGGCGACAGAAGACCATGGTCTCTCGGATCAGTTAAATTGAAGCTCCACCCATAGAATGCCACACTGATAACCATCTTTTTTCTAGTGATCCCAGTATTCATCCAGTTTTTAGCGGACGCAGCCATGTTAAAATGATCTTTGTGCCAAATGTATTCTCTAGATGAAGAATAGAGAGCGTTGTTCTGGCCTGTGTAACCACTCCAAGGGCCATAGAAATCGTATGATTTTACGGTGATCCAGTCTAGAATTCTAATGGCAAGTCAGGTATTATAAATAAAGAACTCGAATATATCCATGAAGCATTCTTAAAACTCAAGGAAGGAAAAGGTCACTGGCTAAAATAGAACACAATCAGTAATCTATACCCGTAGGCCATTTACGCCCAAACAAAACAACACACAACATGCCCAAAAGCGAGATTGTACACGTGCGCATTTTCCTCAATGGTCTTGGAATAATGTAACAAAATAAATGATTATTCTTATAGAAAGAAGTGCACATACTTTGTACAATTCTTTACTCGCTGGAAGTACTTGAATCATCGTCCCAATGGTTAATATTAATTATTACAGGTTCAATTTGAATATCGATCATATTGTCCAGATCCCACATCTTTGTTTAGACTGTCTCTTGAACGTGACGGATGCAATCTTTCCAATGGTTTGCCGTCACTCTGTTGACAGCTTCATAAACCAAATCTTTCACGTTAGAAAATCTGAATGTTCTATTGCTTAAAGCTACATAGTTTTTTATATTTGTCCACATCATTTCAATGGGATTTAATTCGCAGTGATAAGGAGGTAGCCCTAAAACAGTCTTATTTTGGTTTTTAGCCATTAAGTCAATAACATTAAGATTATATTTATATTTGTGCTGCCTAACTAGATAGATAAGTTCTGCTTTGACCATATTTTCATTGAAACTAATGTCTTTTGATAGGAGATATTGCTGGATTACTGCCTTTCTTGTGGACATTGTAGGCATTTTTTCTAGTTTTCTAGTGTGGTATGCAGCATTATCAAGTACAATGACGGCATTGTCGTCAAGCTTTGGGAGCGTTTTTTTCAAACCATCGTTCAAATGAACTCCTGTCCATTTCTTCATGGTAGTCGGTCGTTTTCTTTGACTCAAATGCCCATAGGGCAGTGGGCACAAAGCCATCTTCACTGCCAACGTGACAGATAACAAATCGTTTTCCTTTTACTGTAAATAATTATTTCATATAGTATTCAAGAAAACTTATAATAATTTAGGCGGAGTATCTAACAGGTGTTGGTTCCAAATCTACTAGATAAAGCTAAGTTTAGTGTACCTAAGTTTTCAGCGTGGGCTCATAGGTTCAGTCTACTTTTACAACGCAATTGACGAACTGATTAAAAACACGTACCTGGCGTATTATTTAGGCCAGTGGTTAGTCCATCTAAGAAGGCTTTTCTTGCTGATTTAATTGTAGAGTCAGCCCATACTTTAGATTTTGCATGTCCTGCATTTATCCAGGTTTCATCTAAGTAATAAACCTTCCTTCGCTGGTCGCGGTATTCCTTTATTGATTTTAAATAATTTCTTCTCCATAAAATGATCTCTTGGCGGTCTATCAAAATACTATTTCTGCCCCGTTTTCTATACTCAAAATGAAGTTCTTTGAGTTAACTATAGATTGTGGTCCTTTTGAAAGTAGGTAAGTCTTGATCACTATTAACCTCCTGTAATACTTTGTCTATGGTGGGAAGTTCCTGCCTTTCAAAAAATTGATGGACTTTGCGTCTGATGGCATTCCGATCAAAGTTATCAACTGTATCCAACAGCTTCATGTAATGCAACCTCTTGTGTGGTAGAGACATCTTTTTTTATCAATGGTGAAAATTGTCTTAGGCTGTTTTGTTTGACACGCGTCTTTCAATATGAATTTTCATTTCAGGATGCTCTAAAATGTATTCTCTTATAAACATTAAGGACAATTTCTTTTGCCTGAATATTCAAATGTCCCTTCTTGTTACGTTTTCTGGGAGGAGACATCACTGAAGAGGTTGAAGGAAGCATTGGGAGAAATATTCTCAGTTTCATCTGCTGTATCCGACATGCTAACGTAGCTGAGTTCTATCCTTACAAATCCTGCACTAGTTCGTAGTTTTATCGTCGAATGACCAATAGCTATTGCAACGCTTAGGCGGCTTCCGCTTTGCCGCGCTGCATCTTTTTTATGCGGGAGCGTAAATGGACTACGAATAGGGTATAGACATACGTTTCAACCGTTCAGCTACCGTGGCAAACTGTTGAAACATTTTATCAAACAAAGTGTATAGACACACCTGAAGGCATCATGGTGTTCTATTCTTGAAAAACACAACAGCTTAACACAAAGCATTCTGTCTGAAGATACCCAATTCAAATACATATTAGACAGGCGAAAAAAGGGACATCAGGTCCTAGCACCATCTTTGAGATAGTAGCAGAACCAAAGAGTCAAACCAAAGAGTAGTTATATTAAGAGAAGAAACTTCGTTCTTCTGCATTATAGGAGAAACTCGACCTCAATTATTGGTTACATCATCGCGTACTGATATGGTACGATAAAACTAGTCACATCTTATGTATTTGCAAGTTTGATGTTTTACTTAAAATAAGCGACTATAATTTTCTCGGGATAATAAGTATAACTTTCCACGGGATTTCGTGTCTCATGGCGATCGGACAAACTTACTTGAAGGAAAAAAAAATGAAAATCACCCGAACGAGGTGGAATGAAAGCCCAAACAAAGCTCAACCGTTTGACCAAACCAAGGCATTTGACATCCGTTCCGAAACGGGCAAGGACCCAATAAGGCAACCAGAGGACGACTGAAAATGACTATCTTCTCATGGAAAACGTTATTGTGGCTTCTTTATAAGAGATCGCTATATGCTTTCGCGGACTTTAAGTTCTTTTGAAGACCTGCAGTTTCGTAGCAGTAGCGTGTATGTATGATCCACGATTTATTCAGCGTACGCAGTTAAAGTAGCACGATCGTAATTTTTTAATATTTTATTTATTCGAGCAGGTCGCTGTATGCAAGTTTTCTCCTTAAAACAAGTTAAAAAACTCATAAACTGTTTTACTCAATATTATTACGTATAAAAATGAATGAGATCTTGTGAGCACAATACAAAATTAAAATTGTAATAAAGGTATGAATCAAAATTTTCCCAATTTTTGTTTATTAACAACATACTTGTATTCTATTACCTCAAAGGTTGTCAAAATGATTGTGGGACATATTGTTACCCGAAGAAATGTGTATTATTTAGAATGTGTAAATCGGACACTCAGAGCTTAGAATACCACACTGTTCTAGCCTGACGCATCTCGACAGCCGTTCCGTCGCCCGGCGGCGGTCTGCTGATCACGCATATGAGTCATTGCAGTTTTAAATAGTTACAGTATAGTTGCCTAAGAGCCGATGTATGAGGGCGTATCACAAAGTTCTATTAGTAGTGAAGTGGGAATTAGGTGATATAGAAATATAAACGTACTCATTCATGCTCTTTCCATCGTATCCGCTATCATCTGGATACGACCTAACACTGGCACTGAGCAAATAGCCATCTTTCTTCAATGCATCTTTTGTTCTCTTCAGAAAATTGGTGAAGATTTTCTGAAATCAGGTAAAAAGTTGGATGGATCAAGGCTATTCGTTAGAGCAACCTGTAAAAACCTCAGTAGTACTATCAATGACAATTTTCTATTTACGCAATTTTGCTTTCCGAAATCTCAAAGCCGCAATGTTATGCGAGAAGTTTCCTAGTCTCGTTTTTTTCAACTGATATCAAAACACTTACTGCTTCATAGGGCTCGGGGTAAGGAGGATGCCAGTCGATGTCTAAGCCATCAAAGTTGTATTCTTTTATCAACCACATTGAACTCTTGATGAACTGTTCAGTTTTCTTTTCATCTCTGCATAGATCAGAAAATAGACTCCCGTTACTTGCCATTGCCCCTCCAATGCCTAGTATGACCTTCAGCTTCGGATTTTTCAACTTGAGCTCCGTTGTCCTGCGGTACAGACCTTAAACATTAAATTCCAGTAGGAAATTAGCCGATTAGTATAGACAAGTCGAGATGAGTGAGCACAATACGTAGTAGTAGAGACAGTAGTTGTTAAGACAGCATAAAGCGTCATATATTACCGATTCGACCACTGCGAGAGTGTATAACATCAGCTATCGGTTGGAATGATGGGATATTCCCTGTTGCGCGAATCAGTTCGCAAGTTCAAAAGGTCGCAGCTCCCACTGTGATAAATATTAAATTGTGAATTTAGAACTATCCAAATTTGGCGATCTGATAAAATCTTCAAAGAATCAAATTTATTTGAATCTTATCAAAATTTGCCGACTGCTTTATCACTTACTGTCCTGAAATATTCCGTTCTTCCTCTTTGATGTCTTTCTTTTCTTTACTTGACATTGTCCGGTTTCTGGGTTGCCTGATTTGACAGACTCATGAATTGATAGAACTGTACTAAGGACCTTCCAGTGACTTCACTTGACCATTAACACGTATCAAGAATCAGCACCGTCAGTCTTACTTCATTTACTGTGGAAACTATGTTATGCGATTCACTCATGATCCTTACCTTTCTTACCATTCCCATCTATATCCAATTTATTGTCTTCAACTCTGATGTCACCGTAGTGCGATATCCCAGCAAAAAGCGTAAACCATGTAATTGCAGAGGAAAGGGTCCATGTCTTCAGGATTGACACCTTGATATGACCACCAACTGGCATATGTGCAAAACACCTTCACACTAGAAGCTGTTCTGTTTCCTTTTGGAGATGATGTTGTTGTTAATACTGGAGCAGTAGTGTTTCCTTCTACAAGACAGTTGAGTTACTGGATTACGATATCTCGATTGATGTGCTATTCTCAAGCAGACCCCAAAAATTGTATACACAATGGTATTTAGAAGCCTCCGGGTCACGTTATAAAAATTCCTTGAGAATCGATTACCGTTTGATGAATGGTCTTTCCTTGGATTAAAAAAAATAAAAATAAAAATATAAATTCTTGGAAGTACGTTCAATTCGCAGTAGGCTGCTACAATTATCATCACAGACTGTCATCGATGACAGAAAGATTTGTCTTAGATGGCAGCAATTTGATGATAACTATGTGGCATTTTTGTGCTAGAATTGTATATTATTATGATTTCATAGCAAACTAGACTACACCCGCGGCTCCGCTTGCCTGCATTTAGTGTAAAGCTGTCGGTCAAAGTTATTGCTTTCCCATTAGCGTGAAGGAGATTGATTCCGGAGAAAGAAATACAATATCTACTCTGGCAATGAACATTTTTGATCAAACATTTCGTTGCAACAATAAATTAATTTCAATGCTTCGCTTTTATATCCTCCACAGAAAGTACGGATTTTACGTTAAAGTATACGAGTACGAGTATCTTATCACTAGATGGTCAGATTCATTGGCTAGGACGTACTTGAACTCAAACTTAGCCGCAATTTGCATTTGAGGAGTTAAACATAAATGTTTTCCGTTGAAGATTTATTTGATCTTCAAATGATCTTGTTGGTTATGCACATAGACATAATTGAACACAAAGTTTCTTGCCCTTTTTATTTTCGGTGCCAGAAATAATGGTTTCCGTTTAGGCAAATGAGCTTGAGGGTCATAGTTAAGGTCACCTTCAAGGTCACAATTAGATGAATCTTTTCAAACGTTACAACTTTATTACACAATATTCTGCTTTATGAAAAACGTATTTTTCGAGACATTTTGTCCTTTTCCTACTTTCTTGACATTCTCAAATACCCTTGAAGATTGTGGTCAGTGTCACGGGCAAAGATATACTTTAACATAACATGTTACGTTCTTTATATTTTCGGTGTCGAAATAGGATCTCAATCTAAAAAACTTTATCGGCCACCAAATGACCTTGAATGTCATGGTCCAGGTCAAGTTCAAGATCATCAATGGATGAATCTTTTCAAACCTTACAACTTTGTTCACCAACATTTTTCTCGGGATATTTTGCTCTATTCATATTTTTTAAACACTACGTATTTTTCCGGATAAAACCATATCCTTCCTCTGGTTTCAGTTGGTTAACATATTTTTAAGTCTCTCTCCGAATTGTGATTCCGACATGATGCTGACTGTCACATTCACATTATTTATACCATGTGTTTCAAATTCGACCCTCACCATTGGGATCTCAGGAACGGTAAGACATACGAAGTCGCTCAGTCTCAAAGTACTCCCGAAGACATACAGAAAAAGCAGATTTTTCCAAAATCGTTTTAATTTTATCCCGACCTTATTTGTAGTTGGATTTCTCTTATCGACAGGGTGGCGTAATTAGAATTTACATAATATGACGTTTCGTCTCTTGTCCTCCAGCATCAACATTTTCTCAAAGTCCCCATATTGGATGTATGTACAGGTGAATCGTATTTTTAATTCTGATTCCAAAAATCCGCATTATACTTTGGCGTTCAGTTCAAATATGTTTATTATTTCACCACGTAGTCCGCCCTGTCGTACTACCAGCCAAAAGGTTTTAAAGCAAAATCCCCCTCTCATGTTACGCTCATGTCCGCTATAGTTCGGTTCCAAATTGGAAGGCAGTAGAGAGAGTAGAGGTGCGATTTTTTCACGCGCTCATCTAAGAAATCCTCTAAAAGTCTGCATATTGAATTTTGCATGAACATTTAAATGTTCAATACTTTTTTTCTGATCTCCTATCCAAAATAAGCAAAACCTTCAATTTCAAGTAATTTTTGGTTAAATGCTACGGTAAGAAGATCAGCAAGCCAGGATTCAGACTTTGCGATCTACGTATCATTGGATAAGGTAGGCTTTGTAATACTCAGACGATGCAAATATTGCGATCTTCTGTAGGAAAACCTCAATTTTCAACAAGTCTGTCTCCTGGTTTATACCATGCCCACGCTACTTGTCTGCAACTGGAGGATGTGATGTTGCTGAATCGAATTTAATATAGAGTTTAATATGCTTTGTGATCGAAAATATATTAGCTGCGGCTACTATGTTTTTGATTATGTCTGAAGCTCCACCGTTATTCGTACATTTTGATTCTGGAACCAAATCCATGGATTCGCAGAACTGAATTTTAGCGAGTTAATTTGCTAATTCACTACCTTGTCCAATGATACCTAGATCGCAAAGCCTGACTTCTGGCTTGCTGATCTTCTTACCATAGATTTGTACCTAAGATTACTTGTAATTGAAGGTTTTGCTTATACATCTCATTTTATATAAGAGAACAGAAGAAAATTTTTGAACATTTAAGTGTACATGCAAAAATTCAATATGCAGACTTTTTGTGGACTTCTTAGATGAGCGCGAGACAACTTCGCTTCCAGTCCTTTACTGCCTTCCAATTTGGAACCGAACTATTGATATGGGAAAAAAGCAGAAGCGTTATAGACGACATACGTCTAGTAGGAGCTCCTATTCTGATAGGGAGAACCGAAAGCCCCTAAAAAATTGGAGAGATTTTAGAAAAAACATAAACAGGATCGACATCGTCAGAGAGAGCCTTTAGGCTCTGACCGCATGCCAAGCGACCGATCGCTTTACCGCACAGCCAGTGACCGTTCCCATTTTTTTCTTTCCAGCACATTTTCAGCACAATCGAAGTCGCCGTCCCCTCGGCAGGCGGATGATTATCTCCGGAAGGGTTGCTGTTCTAGCTCGATTTTCTCCAACTTAGGGAATGGTGTAGCGTCTCGCCCCGCACCGCTGATGGTCCAAGCAACTCACGCTGGGGTTTCTCCCATTAGGGAATGGTGTAGCGCTGGCCTGAGCATCTCGGCAATCACGATGATCCAAGCATCATACAACTACTCTATGAACCGGACGTGGACCTACCACAGAATCCATGCCTAGCATTTATAAAGATATATATATATATATATATATATATATATATATATATATATATATATAGCTGTAGTCATCGTTCTTGGCGGTTACGTCATCAACGCCATATGAAATAAGTAAACAGATCGTATCTCCGTACGATGGTCGGATCTTAATTTACTACTCTGTCTCCAGTACTCCAGTACGCTAGAAGTGGGTATCAGGGGACCGCTGTTTTCATTTTCTCCCTGAAAATACTCTGATAAATTTAGCACGAGCTGCCGGCCTTCTCCATGGATCGTATTTCCGGGCATTGTACATTTTTATATTGAAGATTGATAACTGGACAACTCAAATTGCACGCCAATGTCAAGTAAATTGTCACTCTGACAAATTTTCGAGACAGAGTTACGCAATTAAAAAACGTATGTCTTTGAGCTTACCGAACAAACGTTCACACACATGGGTAGGTTGCATGTGTATGTATGAGGGAGATGGAGATATATAAAGGGATACTGGTCTAGTAGTCTTACTTACTCGTCAAGAACCATTAATACAACATACTCTCCTACCCAGTCTCTCAGATTCAGGGCGCATTTTATCTAGTTTGTTTATGACTTGACAGTGGCACGGCACTACATGAACAAAAATAAAATTGCTAGAAAATCGTGTTCCAACGAACCTGTTATTCGTATCAGATTTCGACGATGTTTTTAAGCCAGCAAAGTCGATACAGTCGACAAGCAAAGATATTAAGTCAGCCCAGCCTTCATCCCCACATCAGAGATTTGCAAATGAACTACACTCGATCAACAGAAAAGAAGGAAGGCAGGAAAGGAGTAGCTCCTATCACGTGCCTTTAAACAGGAGTCGCCCAGCCCATCGACCGAGGGGGATAGGGCATCAGAAGGGCAGATCTTCGCGATAAGCAAATCTAATGGACGGATACAAGAGGAGGAAGTAAATAAGGTAAGTGATAATGCTAATAGACCTTTTTCAGCTAGACTAGCACAGTTTTGTGAGAAGTGGACAACCATAACTGGATTAAAGGTTACAGAGTCCGATAAGCAATGTTCCCAAACAAAGGAACATACCCAGTGACAAGGCCAGAGGTCAGGAGCGCTTTATTCTAAACATAAGAAATCTCAAGAAATTTGTTGAAGCCCCCCATTTTAAGGTGGATGCCACACGTACAGTGTTGAGGTTAATTCAAAGTAACTATTACCTTACATCAAACGATTTAAAGGATGCATATTTTTTTATATCCGAAGCATCGGAATTTCGCAAGTATTTGGGTTTTAGGTACAGTTGAGGGTCGCTTATTTGAGTTCACCTGTATTTCATTCGGTCTTAGTTCTGCTCCTCATGCATTTACGAAAATTCTTAAGCTGGTAGTGCAGAACTCCGATTCCTGGGAATTTTATGTGTAAATTACTTGGAAGACTTCTTTATCCTTGGCGAAACAGCCAAAAATTGTACAAATATGCTGAACCCGAAAGCGCAGTCAACTTGTTGGAATCTCTCGGGTTTGTAATCAGACAGGATAAGAGTTCCTTCGTGCCCTCAAAAACGTGCAAATTTTTGGGCTTCATGCTTAACACTCATACAATGATGAAGCTCGATGAAAAGACATTTAGAATCCGAAAATTTGCTCAGTTCGTAGGCCTTTTAGACCTGTTCCGTCATAAAATACGGTTGGCTATATACAAGTACAATGCGAAGATGTCGCTTTCGTCACAATCACAAGCGGCACGGGTATTACGTAGGTATATTGAAAAGTGACCTTTCGTCAGTTTTTTTGTGATATAACATAGATTTTTCTACATGATGTTAACTAAGCACAAGCTGTTGTACACTGTACGTGTTGCTTGAACTTCAGCAACAGCGACCATAGCGAGCAAACGTAAAATGAGCTATTTGCACACTAAAAACTACCTACGCACACGGGTATTATGTAAAACCCCTAAAAACATAAAAAAACCTATAAGATGTGTCATCTTGCAAACTAGGTAGTTTTTAGGGTGCAAACAGTCATTCCACGTTTGCTCACTAGGATCGTTGTGAGCGTCCATCTATGAAGGAATGGCTCAACTACACGTAAACGTATTGTTGGTTGTATATGTTTTGTGAAGCCGAGTGGTCTATAGTTTTCATCTCTGAGAAGAAAGTTTGTTATTTGGTTGAATAGCAAGATCGCATCTGGATGATTGTGTGTATTGGTCTGCATGTGTATAAGATAAGTGATATTTGCTGATTGAGAAAATTATTACTGAATATGCTGACAATGGTGTGCCCGCCGGGTTATTTATATGTTGTCCTTTCGGGAAACAGGTTATGTTTTTTACGTTGATGACGATGACTTGTAATTCGACAGTGTACAGTGAATAAATTTAAGACAAGAATCCAATGGAATTATCATCAACACATATTATTAGCACACAAATCCTCACTATGCCGTTACCTCCAGTAATGCCATCTACGAAGCAGATTTTACATCACATCATACCCAAACATTGATAACTGAAGCCTCATGACGTTTAGGTAAAACGTACAACTACAAAATAAGTTTACAAAAGTGTCCAGCTGCTACTGCTAAGTTAACATCTTGTAGAAAAACCGACATAATGTCGAAAAAAAAAACAGTGAAATGTCAAAGAAAATCGATATGTCACTTTTCAATACACGTAATTCCCGTGCCGATCTATCATGGTGGCTGAATAATATAGATACAGCAAGTAGATGTCTTATGGGGATTCGGTCTCAAAACTTCCAAAATCCGCCACCAGAGGCGCTGGCGTCGCGCGCCATTGACAGGTTGTTGGACGGAATCTGTATTCATGAGTTGGGGATTCCGCCGCTAGATGGCGCTGTCAAACCAAACGGAATCTGTGTGTCATTGGACACCTGTCATGCGTCATTGGGCATCTCACGCATAGATGGCGTTACACGTCATCTGTCATACGTCATTGGACACCTGTCATTGATGGGTTGAGCATCTCGCGCATAAATGGCGTAGATTTGTTTGGCGGTGTACAAACCTAACGGAATCTATGCGTCATTGGACAGCTGCCATTGATGGGTTGGGCATCTCGCGCATAGATGGCGCCGATGTCGCACCTGTCTGGTGTTGGCGTGGATTACGGGGGGCAACGTGTATACAGGGGTGCATCGAAAAATAGCGGATCGATGGACCGACGGTATATCGTTAAATCGTATATAGCAAGGCGTGACCTAAATAGCGTGGTGGGCTCCTCTGGTCGGTCGGTCGGTCGGTCAGAATGTCTCATAACCTGTATACGATGTACTGTTATTATTATACAGGATGATACCGTTCAAAATGAAAATAGTATAGACATTCTGACAATTATTTCGCAAACCAGAGGTATTTTCAATAAAACTACAATAATACGTTTAATATTTTATTGAAAATAGAAAAAAACTACATAGGTAATATGATATTTGAAAACCAGTGGCGTAGACGTTCAACATTTCTCTGGGTACAGGAAAATTGTCCGTTGGTGTGGCATGGATTGGAATCAGCAACAAAGTTTCCAGTAGCACACGGTGTACCATCATACTTGCAAACATCAATAATGTTGGGAAAAACACCAAAAATGTGACATTTCTTGAGTAAAAAGTTTGCTTTCTGTTCTCCACGAACGTAGACATAGTCAGCCGCATATATCACCTTATTTTTAATTATTTCATTTAACTTGGAATATTTAACGTCGCCGGAAGAATATTTAAGCCCATGGAAATTCTTCTCCAAGTAAGCGACAGTTTTCTTGTCTTTAGTATTTAATGTAGAAAAAGGTTGCGGAGGTGTAAAGATGTAATGACTTTTCTTGAAACCAATTT